GGGGGGGGAGAGGTGAGGATCCAGGGAAAAACAGACCTTCCGATCGAGAAATGCCTGGATGGATCATGGATGGATGGGCCAATCTATTTCCCGGAAGAGAAGGATATAGTTCACAAAATAATATTCCTACTCGCAGAATGCGGACAATGAGATAATAACAGACATATTAACAGCAATCAATATGAACTTCAAGTCATCCACCGCTCATGCCATACAGGACTTCGGATTGATTAACCGGGCCTCATGGCTTTGCTGCCACTCCAGGCGGCTCTGCGCCTGTGTGTCTACATGGAAAGGTACAGTACAGTACAGGACAGTACTAAATTTATGCAGCGAACTGAAATGCTGAATAATGGGTTTAGGGCTTACGACCATTTGAATATCTCGCGCGTGACAGGGGTCTTCAGCGGATCAAACTGATCTTAGCGGCAAGGAGGTCAGGATATCGACGATAAGGAGCAAATTCTTGCAAGATCAGTGGAGGAGGGGGGAAGGGTTGTTGGGTGGTGGATGTTAGGAGAGTGGAAGTTGAAGAGACACTCACAGAAATCCAATCAACAGTCAGAGAGAATGTTGGGGATTTGACTCTTCTCATTGGTGTGCTCGCGTGAGCTAGTGTTAAGCGCCTCTTGGGTACAGTACTTTGACTGTCATGGCTGAGGTTGGGGGGGGAGAGGAGGGGGGAGAGAAAGAGATATCTCCACTTCTACCCCCCTCTGCTTAGCGTGTGTTGGTCTAGGTTAGGTAAGTTAGACAATTGCTGGATGGGAAACGACTCATGGAGGCTCTGGCTCATTGTCCGGCCCTCCCCGTAGCAATCAGAGGTTCAGGCTTTCCGTCCAAGCCTCAGGGGGGTCCACCATGGAGACTGGAGAATGGAGATTGCTATCCGCCCTAGGCTAAATGACTGAGAGTGTGCCAGGATGGTCGATTAGACTAGAGGACTCCATAGAGCTAAGGTCCAAAGGTCCCGGCCTAGAAACGTAAGTAAACAGAAGCTCCACGGACCACTCCAGCCAAGATGGATCCCCCCATCCCGAACCAACCAATTGAACCAAGTGGAACCGCTATCCACTCACCTCATTTTGGAATTTATATCCAGTCAATTAAGCGGCTCTAGCATTCGCCCACTGGCCTGCTGTCCATTCAAACTGCGAATGGGCCGAGACGACCTGAGTAAAAGGCTTGCATGGCTGCGTGAATCGACTACGTATTGTAGAATACTCTGGTTCCTTCACACAAGCCCATTACTGACTACAGACCGATAGGTTGACCATGATCACTCACAGTAAGTTACCAGAAGAGCCTCCAGAATGGCGGCCTGCGGGTCCCTCTTTAATTGCTTCTTACCGGCGTAGGGTCGGATTAGCCCGCTAGTCAACCAAGCAAAACCCAGGGTTTACCGCTGTCATAGCACAGGCGATTGTTGGCTTGAGTCAAAATGACCTCTTCTGGGTTAATGGGGTTGACGGATTTTGTCCGCCATAAGGACATATGTAGTAAAAGAGAATCCTTGACGACCCTTGGCACCGTTGAATGTGTCATGATTGCAGGGGCTGCTAAGGAGCGATGGAGAACCACCCATTGGGGCATATAGAAACATCCACTATAGAGGGATCAGGCAAGGGAGAAAGACCAGCTGAGGTCACACAACCACGTGTAGGACGATCGGCGTGTTTCCGTCGATTACCTTATATTGCTGCCCGTTATTATGGACATATTGTCTACCAAGTAAGATTCCATGGTCTCCGTTTAGGGGGAGCACGACCACACACACGCCTTCGTCACGTCCTGTGATTTGATGAAAACCCGTGGTCAGAGCCCTTATCGGGGCCTGCAGCTAACGGGAGGAAGACTTAGCAACTGGAGTCTGAAGAATCATCGTTACGGCGGCGATACTTACCGTACAGGCTGGACGCCTGACGAAGAATAGAGTTCCTTAGACTGCTCCCTGAATAGATAGGATATTCAACCTGGACGTATCTCGACCAAGTGGTCTGTGTAAACTGATTCAGTTCCAGGATCATCACGCAGCAGAGACCCTTGGTGGTAATGACTCGATGCAGGAAATCATGTAAAAGTCAGCAGCCCCATCTTAGTCTGATTCTGGTTTTGTTTCTAGGGTATCAGGGTATGTGAGAATCGGGAATGTCAATCGTTCGACGCTTCGGTACTCGGAGACTACCATAGCAAGCACCTCGGACAATGTGGTAGGCACATTCATGCACAGTTACACCGGAGGTAGGTGGCTTAGTAGCGTCGAAGTATACAATGACATCTAGCGTGGCAACGAGGGCGTCCAGCCCTGTAGCCAGTGGGGCATGCTTGTAGGCTCATCACCCCTTTCCTTTTCCCCTCAAGGAAATGATGCGCTCAATCTGAGCAGAGACAGCACCCCTGCCACCCTTCGGTCTTCGTAAATCCAACTGGACTTCTAGCTTGTTTCATCGTGAAAATCGACTACACGCACCTCGTACCGCCCAAATGAGCCTTGTGCTTCCAGAACAATGTGCTTACTCTTGGTTGCTGTACGCCTCAGGCTAAATGATTAGTCGAAGGCATAGTACATTGCTTTTTCTCTGACCAACGACACCCCGGGTTAGAATACAACCAAAGAGCACTACGAATGAATGACTGAAACAAGAAGTACCAGAGCTGACACCAAAGATTCGGTACTAGACCTGAAATGATGGGGATTGATCTTCCGGGGAGCGGGGAGGGTGTGAGACTCACTAAGGAATCATCGGAAGGCACGGATCCCTATGTTCCTGGCGTCCGGGTTGGCAAGGACCTGTCAATGGTATGACAGCACGGAGTTCTCCTTCGTTGCTATGCGCCTGCCACACTACACATGTACACTGCTCCATAGTAAGCACCAGTCGGTCAACCAACTTACCAAGCCATCCATAATTGGCGGCAGGAATGTCATATCCACGCGAAGACGGGACTCTTTGGTGCTGCTGCTGCTCAATGGGAGCCGCTGTTGTTTCCGAGATTGACTCGATCTTACAGTAGATTGCATTAGTTCAGAATCGGGAAGAAAAATTATCCTAGGTAAGCAGGCGTGGTTGACAAATACGTCGCGTGAAAACGGAGAATGTAGCTAGCCGATCAAGGAGGCGGCTTAGCTACCTAGTACAAGGTATGTACTATGTAGAAACCTGATTCAATGGGAGACTGCCTCAGGCCCCGGAGCTTAGGGGGACCGAGTGCATGGGTATGACACCATCATCCAGCCATTGAATCACTGCTCCAGGAGATAATAGGTAATCGTTCAGTCCGCGCTAGAAAGTCTTCTTCACGTGGCGGGGACCCCATGCCGGGATCCCGATCCTTCAAGGCGTGGCAATGGGGCCCAGGAGAGGGGAATCACACCAGTGAGGAGGAGTTGAAGACGCTAAGTATTATGGTGTCTGTCTGTCTGTATGTATGTATGCATGTCCTCTCTTTCTATCTCTCTTCGTGTCGCCTTTGCCCAGATTCTCAACTAATGCATCCCGTGTTTAGAAGTCTGACTTTGGGGCTGCGCAGCCCGGGTTCCTACACCACAGCTGCAAAGTAAGATGGTTTGACGGTACAGTATGTCTTGTGTTGTCCATGCAGCGACGGTGCCAAGAAGTCGAAGCCGGCTTGACACTAATTATAACCACAGGCATAGGGCATCGTGCTCGCTGGGCGGCACATCCCGGTCCTGTGCGGCACGAAAAGGTAATGGTGGTGGTCAGCAACAACGTGGCCTTCCTGTGGGGAAACAAGGAGGGACAAGAACGACTGGCCTAGGTGTAGAGGAGGGTTGCATCGGAATTCAAAGGTAATCAAAGTATGATTAAAAGGTCTCAGAACCCACCTAATTAACTTAACTGGAAGAGGGCCAGATTACGGCCGAGTTTCTCCTGGCCTCTAATTCTTCAATCCTCAACAAAGACCTTCCTCGTAATTCGATGATATATTATTTGCTAATCTAATGGATTGGATAGATTAGCTGAGTAAAAATGATCGTGAAGACGGGTATTGACTCGGGAGGCCACGGCCGAGATGGACGTCAATGGGTGTACTGTACTGTACAGTACTGGACTAACCACATTCTGTCTTTAGTACTCCTCCAAGTACTCCGTACACTCCATACTGAGCGGTAATCTCCTTCCCCCCTTCCACCGATTGATCGAGGCCCTGTCATGGGCAGTCATGGCAGTGTCAGGTGCCTTTACTGTAACTACACTCAACCAGGCAATAGATTGGTCGCTCACGGCCCTAGTCCCAGACTAAACCCGGCCCGGAACGTTGTGGTGTATTCCAGCCGCGGGCAACACCTCACTTTGTTCACTAACTTAACACCAACACTAAACAGTCTAACCCCCCGGCCCTTCGCGAGGCATTCCTTTTGCAGAAGTCCAAGCGAGGAAATTGACTGGCCCAATCGCTGCGGACACTGAAACTGTGAGACTGTGAGACAACTTGGAACTCGAACTTCCTTGCACACGTGCAACCTGCAAGCCATTGTTGGACTAACCTAGCACTTACTATACAGGGCATTTCGAATATACTTCCGAGTCGAGTCTAGTGACCGTGACCGTGACCGTGACAATGAACCACATGTGAATGGAATGAATGAATGCTTGGATAGTGGATAGTGATAGTGGATAGTGGATGATGACGAGGTTCCCAACGATTGCCTAATCAGGAACACTTCTCGAGCACCGTGGACCGTGAACCTGGTGGACTTGAGTTGCTCAGTTGGTTACTAGCTACTCTGTACTGGGTCCTGGAAAATAGGAAAATGGATCGGAGGCTCGGCAGGGCAGTGGGCTCCGGCACCGCAGCGGCGGGGGTCTTCGTACCGCCGGAGCCAGAAACTGCCCCGGTATCCGCCATGCCCGTGGCCTTGTTGTCTGTTAACTTTCTTAGCATCGCTATGTTGTTCCGACGACAGAATTCATGAAGTCCACAAAACAACGGGACTGTCCAGGCAGGCTCCTGGAGGATTTACAGTTTGGAACCCTTAGGACTGCAAAATGATCCTGTTCCATTGTTTACCTCTTTCTTCAGGTACGGCTGGATCCGCAGGAGGGAAGGATTTCGACACTGTATGTACAGTACATGTGTACCTGCCTCGAAGGATCTAAACGGGGATCGAGTGTCACAAAGAACTGTTTCTTTGGAAATATGGTTATTGACGTAGGCTGGGAACAAAACGTGGTGATCAGCAGCAATCTCGGGGGCTGATCCTGCAGGTGCCTGCCCTTCAGGTGGCATGACAAGCGAACCAGCGAACGAGCGAGCGGACAAACGAACTGGGCGTTTTCTCTCTTCAGTTCTGACCTCATGTCACCCTCGAAGGGCAATCTGCAAACTTGAAACACACCCTTGGGGGGAGGGGGGGGTCATCGACTCTGGTTCCGGAAGATCGCAAAAAGGCTTATCGGACAGACCAGACAGACCAAGCGAGTCTGCCTTGCCTCAGGCTGTCTTGTCTTCTTAGGTAATCCCATCCCCTCCCCCCTGTTCCTGTTTGTTTGTTTGTTTGTCTGTCGTCATAGAGCGTCTGACCCATGTATTCTTTTACTCATTCACTCTTACATCTCTTCGCTTAGCTTCATGCAACAAGAGAAACACGAAACAATCGGGCTATCTTGTCGGCTAATTAGCAAATATGGCTTTCTTCAATACGCATCAATCCAGTTCTCGAGATTTTCCGATTTTCCTTCAACTTGGATGGGGATGACGGTCGAAAAAGAGGCTCAGAATCCCAAAGCCCCCCTAAGAGGCGGTCCGATCGAGAATGAGCCATCGTCGATCTCCATCCCCGGTTGATTCTTGTCTACAATCACATTTCTTCTTCGTCTAATCAGAGTGGGGGGCTTCTAAAGCGTGGGCATGCCGAGTCTGGCTGCTGCCCTTTGGGAATGTGGATCCCATTTCCAATGCCGCACTGCCTGGACATGAGGACGGAATTGACCCGTCAGGCATGCAAAGGAAAGCCATTGCGAAGTGAGTTCGACACACCCACTAAGGACCAGGTCTGCAGCTAACATTCTAAGTCACTCACGCTAGTGACTAGGTCGATGGAACACCAAGCGTATGCTGAGGGTAGCTAAGCGCTACTGCCGAATAGCAATTTCGGGACGGGCACGCAGTCCCTAAATTCCCACTACGTACGGAGTACCTTCAGCTAACCTATTCGTTATTCCACCATGCTCACTAACTTACATGCTAGTCAAGTTCCGACTTCAGTGTCAGGCCCCCTCGACTGCATGGTAGTCTAATAAGCGACAGTTGGTACCAACCTCCTCAGGTCCTAGCAACCTAGACTACCCCACTGCCAAGCCATCCAGTTGAGTTCGTCCAGTTTGGCCTGCATGATTGACCGTCCCGCGGGTCCGCAACTCTGGCGAGCCTCTTACGTTTGAACAAAACCCATACTATGCAGTAGTGACTAGTGAGGGTCCACTCGACTGAATGTTGGATAAGAATAGCTAAGTAGCCATGTTAACGTTATACGAACAGACAAATCATGCTTTGGCATCGCCATGGTAAGAAAGGTCGACTACGAACCACGCACGGTAATAGTCGGTCACGGCCGAGCCCGTCTGTGATCGACACATCGAATGTCCAGGCGCTCGCTCAGACACATCTTCTTCCACTTTCAGACCGCTCTGCACGGTAGACCTACCCCATCTTGACGGGCGGTCTTCCCCGCTGGCGGTTGTACTTACTTCAGTGACAAGCTGACACCTCCAAGCTGGTATATTTCGTGAGTATATCATCCTCTCGTATAGGGTTCGGGCTCCTAGGGGCCAGCCGTACATTGTCTTTCCATGGCGATCGGCGTCGTCAGTATAGTATATCTCGTCAAATCACATTGTGCTTTGTCTACCGCTAATTCTGTAGAAACGATCTCTCAAGGCTTACTATGAGCCCCAATTCGGAAAATGTTCCTGCCCCTGTCAGCAACCCTCCTCCAACACGAGGGGGATATTTTGTGATAACATTGCCCGGTTGCCGGGATAAGACGATCGGCTGGACGAGCGTGGTTCTTTTTCGTGCCATTGGTCAGGGCATGATATTCCATACTGCTTCGAACATTCTACAAGCAAATCTGCATATTACACGGGGCGCTGCTATGCACCAAGTACGTCCTCCTGCAGCTGGTAGCTTATGAGCTACTGCACCGCTCGCATCTAACCTATGTACTATACAGATTGCATGTCATAGGGCCACGAGGCCTATTATTTTCGCCCCCATGACAGGGGTGCCATGCGCTTCAGCACGGCCACATGGCCTTGACTCTTGCTGCGGTCTCAGCTCCTGACAACAATCGGTGTCGGTCCGGTCCCCCCTGGTCGTCTGTTCCTAGAGAGGCTGGCGCTCTGACATCAACGGCGTGTTCAACGATCGGTTTGCACTAAGAATGTCCTCTGGTTCCCCATTAAGCTGTCTCCAAGCCACGCTGCTAGCAGGCAGTGGCCCCGTCGGATGAGGAACCATCCTGCTTCTGCCATACTTCTGCACCGCCATGATTGCAATCATTGCTTGCTACCAGTAACGTTTCCCGCCCCTCTGACGGTTACATTGGTCCATGCATGATTGCCCCGGTCAAAAGCTCTAAAGTCGAACTACTACCAATTATAGAATAAAGTGGAGGCTGGCGAGCTGATTCGCCGACCCTCCCTCTCGTACCTTGCTGTCCGCATGCTGCAGGGAGTATGAAAAGAGTTTCATCCTGCCCGCACGTGTATAGGGCACTACTCGGATTCTGGGGGCGATCCTACAACGCTTCTGAACTCTGAGGTGTGGATACCTCAGCCATGACGGTTGCGGAGCTCTGCCACCACCAGGCTTTCTCGTTCTCATATCCACAGCTCGGAGATGTTCGTGGTAACATGCCACACGAAATAGATCGAATCTTTACACGAGATTGTCAGTGAAGTTGCTCTTAGCGCCAGTAAGGCCAACCATGCTACTGTGTCTAGTATGAGACATCTTCTAACTCAAGCATAGTGATATCAGAAATGTTTCCAATCAGAAACGCATATCATAAGGCAAGCGACAACAAAATGATAGCCACCAACGCAAACTTCCGCAAACCAACGTGTTGGTGCGGCGTTTGCCGCTCAGCTGTGCGGATCTGCTACGAGCGCAATTTCAGGAAAGACTATACCAACAGAGGTATTGTTCTAGACGTTTCCACATTCTGCTTAAGCGGATGAGGTGCTTGAATTGTCATAGTGCCTCTCACCTGCATGATTCCTTCTATCTGCTGACCAGCCACAGGTGGCTCCCACTGTTGGGTCCAGGAACGCGCCTTCACCCTGTATGCAGAGGGATATCTGAGACAGGTACCATGACCAAACAATGGGTGGATGAAACCTAGTGTTTCTGACGGGCTTAGTCCTGAAACTCCTCCCATTTGATCATCCTATCCCTCAAGTCGAGCTCCTCCCCATCCACCACAAACCTCCCGTCCCCACGATGGTGCACCATCCTCATCTGCCTCTTCCCGCCACCAACAGCACCGCAGGGCTCTTCCAGTTGCTGATTGCTCTGCCCATAGTTCAAGTCCAGGTCTCTGTTCACCCATGCGCCGACAACCCGCAGTATCCACAAGTTGTACGTCGCCACCAACGCTCGATCATGAACCACACATTGGATATTGGCCATGATATCTTTCCCACCAACCAGTGGCGCACGGGCAGTCCTTTCCAGCCTCATGTAACCCTGCCCCTTTTCTTCTCCATCTTCAAGTTCTGGATCAGTCTCTGGCGGTAACGGCGATTCCGGTGGCTCCACAGGGATCATTTTGAATGCATCCCACTTATCCACCGTTTCGCCACTGCAATTGCCAATATCAACCACCTGCTCCAGCAGCTCCGCAGCCGGTACTGCAAGCACGCATTGGCCGGTTCTTTTCAGGTTGTCAAAGCTTTTGTCCCACGGTCCAATACATGCGCCGACCAGTGTTGGTTCCTCATGCTGGATCATCATGTGAAAGCCCATTGTCATGATATTGTGCGTCCGATCGGCTAGAGACCCGGTGGTGACGAGGACCACAGGCCCAGGCTCCAGGAGGCGATTGACTTTATGCGTGGGATAGGAGAGGAATCGGCTTCGATCATCGAAATGATCCTGTTCCTGTTCCTGCTCCTGCTCCTGAATCTCCAGGCTCTTCTGCTTCTGATGCCATCTAGGCCTCTTGCTGGAACGGCGTGGACTCAGACCTAGCGGTCTGGTTGGGTCCCTTTTTCCTGCACTTCGTTTGTCGCCTGATACTCGCTTGCGAGGCATTTAGGCTAAGGTGTTGGGAAGGATGTAAGTATAACTTTTGTAAGCTTGTAGACCTAGACCTGCAGCGGAGAAATCCTGCCTAGGAGAGAATACGTGCAGGATAGGGAGAAATGACCTGACTCGGATCGCGTGTCGAAAATAGGAGTTGTGGACGCGTCACTTGCTAAAGAACAAAGAACGGCATTTCTGGAGTGACGTCTTCCCCGCGTACTCGCCGGGGTCCCGTGACCTCCATGCCTTGTCGCGATAACTCTACGAGTGTGCATACAAAAAGAATGTTCTTTGTCTTGTTCAGATATGACTATGCTCCTGATTGTACAGACAAGCACGGCAAAATGTGGTTCTGGCCAAGCGAAGTGCTGGAAGGAAACACTAAAATCCCTCCCCTTCAGCATAATCTTCCATGTATACGGAAAGATCTTGAACTGTAAACAACGACCAATTGCTTAATGGAGAGCATGTGGTATATGCTCTTCATTGTTCTCTTTCGCTCAAGGCCTGAATCACCAAGAGACCTTCGGGTGACCTGCACGTATACCCTTCGTATACACATATATAACCTCAGGCATCCATTATATACTTCTAGGATTGAGCAGACTGAACTTGCTTCGTAGTAGCATGATGAACTCCGGCTTAAGTCGAAGCATCTATTCTCTTACAGGTCGACAAGCTACTGTATTATTTATTGGAGGGTACATAAACTTGAAGGAGGTCCATCTCGCTCGCGAGGAGGGAGGTCAGAATCATGGGGTATATATAGTCCTCATCCACTCGAAAGAACCAATCTCTCTCGATCTTTCTTTGTCTTTGCGTAGTATCGTCCAAGATTCTCAGTAAGTAGCTACCGCTCTAGATCTACACGCATAGCCAACTTACTACCAAAGCAGAGAGCCGGGACCGCGAACCTGGCCCGTCCGGGCAAGAAACTACTTCCCCACATCTGGTAGCCATCTCCTCGGCTGGCGAATTTATATCCCGAATATGGATATAATCAGGAGACAGATCCTCCCGGGGGTCCCGGGGGGGGGGGGGGGGGCGCCTTTCATCATCCAGAGGGACCATCCCGGGAGGGAAAACAACCCATTCATTCAATGGGGAGAATCCGAGTCCGAAGTAGCTAGCAACACGTGGGTGTGTCCATGTGACACTTGGGTTCAAAAACCAGAGTGGATGTGAGGCGGTTGGTTGCAACTTGTTCTTGCAATGGAAAGGGGAAAAGAAAATCCCTTTCGAATGGTTTTGAATTCATGCATTGCAAAACATATATCGGAAATTAGGAATCTCACCGAGAGGTCGATGGGATCTTCAGCTTCAACTGCATATATGTCTACGACATGGAGTTGTGGGTGTGTATGGTTTTGTGGAAATGTGTGTTTGGTTGAGTTTAAGCCTACTAGGTAATGGGTAGATATCTTCCCGTATGACTATGGATACAGAATCCTAGGCAAGAATGCAGCAGCGCACCGCCGACGAGTAAACCATACTCGGCTGTGATAAGATCAGTACTGTGCCGCCCTTCAATGATGACACTACTCCGAATCGAGAGAGAGAGAGAGAGAGAGAAGGGGGAGGGGAAGGGTGGGATTGGGGGAGGAGTCCGACTGTGGACTGTTAGGGTTGCATCTCCGGCTAGGAATATGCATCGCGATGCCTGACGCTGATGTCGGTTTGGAGAGGGATGTAGAAGCGATATGCAAGTGACATACATACATAGTCGGTTGATCTTGAAATACATATAGCCATCGGATTGCTTGCACTGTCCTCATCTGGCCTTCTTCATGGGAGGCGGCTTTCGTGTATATAGACGGATTCCAAGGTGCTCTTTGATGAGCTCCGACTATGCATGCAACTGATGGTAGGAGGTGGTTGCTTCTGGGTACGCTTGACCTGGCGCTGGGTCGAGTGGTGGGTTGCGGTCAGTGGATGCCTTGTTCGAGTCTTGCTTGAACGCAGAAGGAATCGGATTGTCAACCGTATCAGCTGAAGGAGTGTGCCGACTGAGATCTGGCTGGCGCTTGCGGTGCTGTACGCAGCCCACACCGTCGGAACTGACAGAAGATTAAATCCCTACACCTACACCTATCAACGAGTGCATGATATCCATTCATCCTCACATTAGTTACAGAGACCTAGCCTGTCCTGTCCTGTCCATTTCATATTGAAACAGGAGCCACCGTTGATAATATCAACGATAAGGCATTGCAAAAGCATCGCAGCATTTTTGAAGCATCACAAAAACAGAAGCTCGATGTCTCAAGAGATGAAAAGAGAAAGCGGGAACTCAAGATCCGCCCGGAAAGAGAGATGACTAACGTAAGATACAACCCATGCCAAACGCCCTGGTTAAAAGCAACAATACAACAAGAAACCTTGGTGGACATGTCGGATGTGTCAACCCGAGGGGGCGTTGAACGTGGGTGACTGAGCCCACTCCTTTCCACAAGTACATCACAGCGGTGGTTTGGGACTAGAGGCCTTTTGTCTCGACAGTGAGACAGCCCTCTTGAGTGCTGAAGCGCATTCGGATCGATGCTGGGTCACCACCAGCGACGTATCTTGTATGGAACCATCGTAGTCGAGGCTTGATGAAGATGTGGGATTCTGTCCGATAACATGTTCTGATATTGAGATCACAAGGTCGCTAAATAGCCCGGCAAGAAAGGGGAATATTGAGAAGAAGAGGGTCTTTCATAGAAGAGGCAATATCACAAGCGAGAGGAGTGTCGGGTGGCAGGAAAGAGAGAACGTGACTCAGATGGCGCAAGTACGCGACGACTTGCCAGGATGAATTGGAGACTCTTAGCGGCGGTCGGGGTTGGTTACCTGAACACCAAGTTAGCCTCAAATCAAACACCTGTTGTGTTGGGACGGGTAGAGCCTACCTGCAGGATACGACGGGAGAAGTCTTGATCATCGTCAATACTGCCGTTGCTTTGCCGTTTTTGAGCCATGAAATCACCATCGAATCGGGAGTCACTGCCCTGTGCCATGGGCTGTCCGTAACCGTCCACGCCAACACTCCGACGATATTGCGCTTCCACCGATTTACGGTTCTTGAAACGCCAGAGAAAGAACCCGGCACCGATGAGCGCACACAGGCCGACTACTCCGATGACCACACCTGCCGCAATCGCAGCAGTGTTCGCACTTGAGCTCTTTGACTTCTCGGTTGGGGTAGCGCTTGCATTGGCGGAATGGGTGGCAGGAGCTTCGGTAACATAGACTGTTTGCCCGCCGCTCGTGACGGCATGGACTGTGGGTGTCTGTGTTGTCGAAGTCGACGTCCCTTCGGTGCTCTTGCTGGAAGTACTGCTCGAGGAAGAGTAGTTATCCACGTCGTCCTCAATACCTGTTAGATAGACCGAATATGTGTTTGCACCGCCACCTAGACGAATGGTCAGCATCGGATATACATGGAAACTTCACATAGGTAAAGGCAACATACACATGACCGATGGCCAGCCAGCACACGAGAGATTGCATTCGTCATCCGATACTTTGTCCGAAGACGCCGGTAGTTCATTTCCGCAGAGACAGTCTTGTTTGTTGTGGAGCGCAAACACGGCGTAGTTGTCCTTCAAGCATAACTTCTGGCAATATCCGTTACTTTGGTAGGTGTATGATCCTTGGTCCTCCAAGGGCGTTGAGCTCGAGTAGCATCCGTTGTAAACTTCGTCATAGGCAGCGGTCGTGGGCACATGGGCAGCCAGAAAGAGGACCGAGGCCACCAGAGCCGACCGCATGGTCAAGAGTTTCGTGAAGGAAGACATGATGAATGGGATAACGATGGCGCGGCCGATAGAGGTGACTGGACACCTGCTCCAGACACAACAGTCAAGGTTGCTTGTTGATGCAAACGAAGGGAAAGGGACGGCCTGCGTAACCCTTTTTCGGAGCGCTGGGGTGAATGTCTCGAAGGGCGGGTGAGTTTCGGCTTCCCGTCTTGCGCAAGATCTTAGGTACTTGTCACTGCGATCTGCGGTAGAAGGGTACAATGTGAGATGTGTTCGAGTTGTCGACAGTTGAACCCCGGTGGGCGCAGAAGAAGGGCTAGAGTGATGCAAGCGATGGAAAGAGTGTGTGATGTTCGCCTTGGCGGGGAAGAAAAGGGCCTTGAGGAGCGGGTTGTTTCAAGCACCCCTTTCTGTCGGACAGGGTTTAGTGGGCGACTGAACGGGTAGCTTAGGCAGGGGAATCAGTCAGGGTCGAAAGTGCCCCAAAGCAATAAATGAACGGATTGGTCCTTGAAAGTATTGAGGGGTGGGCAATCGGGGGGGCGGAGATTTGGGGGGAACGGAAATCGGCGGAATAACGGTTATACGAAGGCGTCGAAGTCTGAGTTGCTTTAGGGAAGCAACGCGTGACAGGCAGCCGGTGGAGAAAATAGAAAGAAGTGTGAAAATTCGAAGAGTGAGAGACAAGTGAAGGGGATAGAATGGTAATGATAGTAGTGGAGGCCCAAAAGAGCAAACGAGTGTCTAGGGTCAATAGTGAGTGAGCAGGCAAGCAAACAAGCAAGTAGTAATAGCAGAAGGGGATGAAAGAAAGTGACGAGGCAGTTCAACGACTCCTCTAGAGGAAAGAAACGAGTGTGATTGACCGGACTAGTCTAATAATTAGTTAGATTAGGTGGATAGGAATAGAATTGGGATTGCTGCTGCTGCTGCTGCTGCTGCTGCTCGCTGGGCGGCAAGAGGGAATTGGGGGTAAGGGAAAGAGGGTCGAGGGGTGGAAAAGGCCCTTAAGCGACGCACTGACAGGCTAGTCAAGGATACTAAACTCAGTAGGGGATGAGGGGGAAACAAACAACAAAACATGCCAATTACGGATACAATGAGTTGGTACTCCGTACGGAGTACTGGATACAGTGTACCAGGTACGGTAAAGTTCTGGGAACGGGAGGGAACCCAACCCTGGATCAGAGGATGTGCAGCCGGGCAGCCGGGCCCCTACAGTACAGTACCCTGCACAGTGAGCCACTGCAGGTGTGGTAATCTATTCTGGTACCGAGTCAATACCGTACCAGGCAGGTACCAGGCAGGTACCAGGTACGGAGCACTTGGAAATGATCCCGCGGGTGTGACGAATGATCGATGGGACTCATGGGAGGGTCCAGGGGCAACTCCCACTTTTTCCTCCTTTGGGTCAAACACGGGCGGAGACTGGCATGTGCGAATCCACTCGCAGTTTGGTCATGAGCTGCTCTGAAACGGGATGAACAACCATCCCATGGTACACCAAATAACTTAACTGACTTAACCATTCATTAGACTATTTTGATGATGATGATTTTCTTCCATCTCGCTCCTCTTCAAGTTTCGCTTAACTGACTGACTGAAAGGTGTGGACTGTAGTCAACGTGCACGAGATGTACCCGACAATCTACAGCAACTTACATCCTACTACAGGTGCATGTCAAAAGAACAAACACACACACCCCTCTCGCAATTCCCATCCACCAGACCCGGTGTACTGACTGACTCCGCCTATGTCTTACTCCGATTATCGTCCGACCTCGACCACTGCCCTCGAGGATATTTATAGTACCATCCATGGGTGTACCTACGTCGTGAGGAGAAAAAAAAATCGGGCACAGTTATCCGCCGATCCGTCATACTGTGACTGGCCTGCTGCTGCTCAATTCCGTCCACTTGACAGGCGTTCGTGACGAAGAATCGATAATTTCTCGCTGTCTTCCTTGCTTGTGGCGAAATTGTCCCCGGTACGTGGTGGCTGTTTTTGCCAGACAGTTCTCCCGCTCGCCTCGAACTCCCGGGGCAATCCCAAGCAGCAGTAATCAATCGATTACCTTCTCTCAAATGCTATTCGCACCACATTCCCTGGTGAAGAAGTCGAAGTCTGCCTGCCTGACAATTACATTCTTCTCAGCCGCGCCCGACATTCCACACCGTACTCCCGAGGAATGATGTTCGGATAGTGCACGACAGGGCCCATGCCAGTGAGGTCGGATGCGAGAACGAAGGGCGAGGCCACCACCGGCAAGGGGAGAACAACACCACTGGCAGAACGAAAAAAACCGCTCAGGGACTCGCGAGCTCAGGTAGACTAGAATCCGTAAACAGTTCTCTCACTAGACCTCTTTGATCCTAGATGCCTGTCAGCCACCAATGGAATGACGGGATGAGGTAAAATAGTCCCTGACTCCCAGAGGCCCTTGAGCCCTTCCGGCTAAGTGCAGGAAGGGGAGAGGGAGAGGGTGGACGAAGTGGAGAATTCTCTTCTAGCCCCAACCCTAGATGTTCGCCGCTCCGAACTTTTCCCATCGTCAGGCTGTCAAGTGTCAATCGACACCCGCAACACGGCTTTCCCAAGTTGAAAGCATTGTTGTTCTTGCAAAGTGCCAAAAGGCTAGAAGTGGGATTGGAAAAGAGATATGAGGTCTGGGCCCTCTGGGCTCAGTGGGTGGGATCAAGATTGTTCTCCACTGCCGCAATAGTCCATCAGTTACATGCTATGCAATCTTCATAGAAAACAAATCTCACCCCGGCGCGTTGGAATTACCCCCTCTCTCCGGCCTGTCCGGTGTACGTATCGACAGTGTAAATTGCACGTAAGAACTCTCTTTTCGGGCGGTTCAAGCCACACACGTCGTCTGATATATTTGGACCAGGCAGTTTCTCAATGGTATGCCGCGTGTCCGAATTGCGGGTTGGCATGTAATATGCGGTATATGCGCGGAAACATACACCGTCAAGGGCCTCTGTGATCTGCTTCCTGCCTTTAACCTGTCAGTTGTTTGAGTAGTCCTGCGATGAGATACAGAAGCCAATTCAGCTTCTCTATCTGGCTTGGCTTTCCTCACACGTCTGCACAGTACAAAGGCTGGGGAATCTCAATGCCGGCATGAACACCCGTGGCCCGAGGTAGTGGATCACGGTTAGCATTGTTTATCTTTAGCAAACAAAGCCCCCTCAAGACAAGAAGATTAACTTTGCAGGGCAACTCCGGGCGGGAGCGACGAACGATATGTCCCCATTATAGTATCTAAGCAAATCGCTCGCTCGAGTGATTATCGTTCATCATCTGCTGAGAAATCAACCTCGCTCGTTTGGATTGACATCAGCTAGCGATATGGCGCAAGAGCCGGACGGGCGATGGCCGGACGGGCCTGTGACGGTCTGCACCGGCTGAATAGAACTCGAATGCCTGGGGCGGAGCGTTTTATGTCTCAGCAACATGAGCCTGTCACATCATGATGTATAAACGACGAGGGTAGAAGCCCTGAGAGTTACCGTGTATAATCTGATTTTCCGGTAGTTTGGAACAACTATAAGACCTACTTCAGGTCTCGAAGACGAGTTTTTTCCTCGAGTCCAGGAATCGGCGGCATTGGTCAAGTCGCGTGAGTTGTGCTATGGTCGCAAGGGATGATCGAAATTGTAGAACATCACCGCCACAAAATAGTCTCTCGTGCGAAGGAAAAGAAAAAAGCACATCGACAACGACCAGAGTGAAACAGCCGTGGACCAGTCTAGACTGTGGGACTAGAAGGATAATGCGAGGGAAGCAGTTACCGCTAACTTAGAAGGCAATCATAGAAACTGCCAGCACTCAGCTGTCGGCAGCACCGAGGGTAAATTTAGTTGTACTTGTCTGATGATCTTTCACATGTGGTCGCGCGGGTTGGATTTGTTTTGTCAATATATCTTGCTTGGTAAGAATAAAAATATGAACGATATTTGGGCGGAACGATGCACTTTGTCCGCGGGCTATTTACGCTGCCGGCCCATGGTCGGGCGGAGATATATATGCGACGAGCGGGCCGCATAATCTTAAATCATCAGTACAAAGGGAAAACCTGATAGCATATTGCTGGAGCGTTGTTCTTATATGAACTGCAATCAAAGAGTAAATCAGCTGTGGCCAGCAGAGGCAACGGAACAGGTGCTGGCATGGGTAGTATATTGTTCAATCGCGGATCCCGCCTAGCAGGGGTGATAGAGAAGTTTGTAGAGTATATACTATTTTACTGTAACTGAAGACACTAAGCAGAGGCAGTCTGAGCCCCAAGAAGAAAAAGAAGGTTATGGTTGCACTAAGCCTTAAATCTGATTTTACTATCAACAACACCAGACAAATGCGAAATGCGACAGTAGAATGTGGTTTCTTTCAACAACAGCGTTATCTCCAAAAATAATTCGATGTCCACTTTTGACGTAGGTTTTCCCTCGGTATATATGCTCATTCGATAAGACATCTCTATCAAGAAGTGTAAACCTCGGCTCACACAGATTGGACCGCGTCTGTTGAGCTTTTCATTTTCCTATGTCGAACCTCCTCTAGGGCTTAGGGATGTGCAGCGTCTTGCTGACCATTAGACAGCCATGCAGCACAAAAAGGAGCACGAGGGGATGGAACTCAAACGCGGTCCCTTCGCCCGCAAGGCCCAATGGTAGGTTGTCCTGGACCCAGTCCTGAGAGACACAGTAGGCCATGAATGCTGCGATGGATAGGGTGGTTGGGATGGGCGTGCCCTCAAAATACTTGGACTTGCCGGTCTTGTCCTTGGGAAGAACAGCAACGGTGACATTGAAACGCGCCAATCGGGTCAATCCACAAAGAACGAAGAACGTCAGGAAGAAGTGGTCGACAGGGGTGCGGATGCCGATGGCGAATGCCGCAGCGGCGGGTGCCATTCCGAAGGAGATCTGGGAAAGCACAAGAGTAGTGGGTCAGCAGCAAGCCCCCTGCCATATCAAAAAAGACCACAAACGTACCAGATCCGCCAAAGAGTCAAGCTCTTGTCCCATCAAAGAAGACTTCTTTCTCCATCTGGCGATCTTGCCATCCATGAAATCAAAGAAGAGTCCGAAAGGCATAAACGTAAGAGCAGCCCAGAGAGAGGAATAATCGGTGGGATCTCCGAGACAGTAGCGCATTGATGAAAAGACAGACATCACTGTTTATAATCAGTCAGTATGAGGTCGCAGGTTCTCTGTCGGGCTGATATGTAGCTTGCCTCCGCAGAATCCTATAGTCAACATGTATTAGCAGAATTCCCAGGGACGAATCACTTTTCAATGACATCAGATTCCTTACCATTCAGTTCAGTCACAAGATCGGCGAGATGTAGAGCTCTGGTAAAGGATAGTAGATGAGTACATGGTCGCAGAGACCAGCTTGATGATCAGGGATGCTAACCTGACCATGCTAAAATGACCCGTCTCTGCTGAAAGAAGCATCTTTTGCTTTTCTTGTCCTATCCATCGTAAGCATCCTTTGTCGCAGACAGACTGGCACCAGGATTTAAGCATACCTCCATCACCCGCAGGTGGGACACCGCTATTCTGAGACGTATTCGACGGCATGGTGGATGTCCTCCGAGACATGCTCAAATTGCAAATATTCGATTGAAAAAGAGACTGAAGCGAGGGCGAGAGATCGGACGGGCGAAGCTTGATTATATGCGGAGGTTGTCCGTGGGGAATGGAAGGGGAATGATGCAATGGGAACCCAGTTATCGACTGAAGGAGTGTTGACAGGCGCACAGATTATTCTTTGACCGCTTAGGCGTGGCTAGACGTCATTGCAAGGCGGTGTTGTCCCGCGCCACACCACTCAGCCTCCGCTACCAAGTAGGGAATACGTTGCAGAATTTGCGCCACAAATAATCCTTGGACCTATGATATGCAGTCCGTATCTGGATACTAGCAAATAGGCTAGTAGCAATACGACTGGGGTTATAGCTCAGTGGTAGAGCGCTCGCTTTGCATGCGAGAGGTCTGGGGTTCGATCCCCCATGACTCCATCTTTTTGCATTCTTGGACCCTTCCCGGATCTCAAAGGGCTACCAATAATAGCATTTTAATATAACATTTAAGTTTTGATTGTCAAAGAGCACCACGGACCAGAATTGCGAAATTTTCATTTTTAGGGATAGACACACCAAACAGTGGTCTGTTGCGATACCCTGGATATATGGGAAATCAAGCTTGCCTTGTACCTAGCACAACAGCCTATGCTGGGCTTGACCAAATAGAGATCTAAGACAAAAGAAGTAAAAAGAAAAGGTCTATTAAAGCCAGCATCTATGTCAGGAGCAAAAAGCATTGGAGTCATGGGGGATCGAACCCCAGACCTCTCGCATGCAAAGCGAGCGCTCTACCACTGAGCTATAACCCCAGCTTAGTAATTACACCTTAATATCGCCACATGCAACAGCAGAAGTAGGCATTTGAAATTGATATGCCTCTATGCTCAGCTCTCGCCGCATATTGTGTGTCCTTGCCAAGCACATCCCCCATTGTCTGCAGGGCACAGTAGCGAACAAAGTTTCTGCACAGTCCGACAAATCCCATAGACGCTGATCGGAGACCGTCGTCAACCTTCACCAGGCACCCAACGAACCAAAGATGATCAGATTACTTATAGTATCCCTCTGAAACTGATGGCCAAAAACTGACCGAACCTGGCCAGCTGCATGCAAGTCGAGCAAAAAATGGAGTCATGGGGGATCGAACCCCAGACCTCTCGCATGCAAAGCGAGCGCTCTACCACTGAGCTATAACCCCAGCTTAGTAATAACTATCTACATCTAGACTCTAATGAACTGAATAAGCGCAAGCCGTTATGAAGACATTGCATTTCTTTCTTATACTGGGCTAGAGGCGTTTCAAGGGAGACCAAGGTAGAATTAACAGGTATAATCATTGCAATACATGGGTCTAATGGCTGCATTGTGCTCACAGCCTCTGCACTTTGACAAGCAGCAATTTTCCGAGGATGCACAAGAATATCGAGACAAATAAATTCCTGCAAGAAGCTCCCGTTTTCCCATAACGCCGTAATAAGACAGTACTTTAGGTCAGACAGACACTGTCTATCGTCGGAACCCACCGCTGCCACCTCCCCGAGAGAAACCACCACCACCACCACGACCACCGCCGAAACCACCGCCACCGCCACCTCTGGAGAAACCCCCACGGCCACCACCGCGACCACCACCAAAACCACCACCACCACCTCTGGAGAAGCCACCGCCGCGACCACCACCGAAACCACCACCGCGAGGACCACCACGACCTCTGGGAGCGAAGCCACCACGGCCACCGCGTCCACCAGCACCACCACGACCAGCACCGCCGGCTCTCTTGGGCTTGGCAGCTCCTACGAATGTTATTAGTATCAATGATCTGTTCATGCACATATAGGTTCGGAATCATACCCGGTGGGGGCTTGGGCTTGGGAAGGAACCTAAAGCCAGCACGTTAGCATTGTTCATAGAGTACCCTGTAGATGTCGTAACATACTTCTCCAAGGGAAGAAGCTTGTCGCCGCCGATGTAGACCTTGTCACCAGCCTTGAACGAAGTCGCGACAATGCCTTCCTGAGGCTTCACGGTGAAGTAGACCTGGTTGATGGGGCCAAGAACCTCATCGACCTTACCGATAGGGGTCTAAGGGCAAGTCTCGTTAGCAATGGCCTCGTCTCAAGAGCGATAACCGGAGTGGATCGTACTTTGTTCTCGAGGTAAATGGGGGCGTTGAAGTAGGGAACCTTGGGGTTGATCGATTCGCAAACCATCTCGCCTTCGCAAGCATGCATGACAGTTCCCATCTCTGAAGCAAATCCATCAGTGACTAGTGCCTGGTCGTTATGTGGCGGTATATTTACCCAAAACCTGCGCCGGGGGTCCGACAGGCTGCTGAAAGCCTCCGCGACCTATTCAAAGAAAATTTCGTCAGCCTATCCTCAACGCGACAATCAATTGTCCTATGCTCTTCTGGGTGAAAACTCACCACCACGACCACCAAAGCTACCGCCACGATTAGCGCCCGTACCACGGCCCCGGAAAGACATGTTGTATTGCTGGGTGTTCTGATCGACCTGAATCCGGAGTCCGGAGAAGTTTTCAAATGGTGGGAAGCCTCGAAGCGGCAAGTGTCGCTAGCCGCAAGGGCAGTTTTGACTCACGTGACTCACCGCCCCCTTCCCTCCGTCTCGGTTTTTGAGTCATGATCGTCCGATTTCGATGCGGAAGAGCCATCCCGCTGCTGGTTTACCCCTCTTCAATAGTCGGTACATCTCTTCTCAGATTGACCTTCTGACGTTGCGGGCTACAGTCATGGCTTCCGAGGGCTCCAAAGATCTGCCTGTCAGGCCTGCTGCCGACGCCAAACCTGCTGGTGAGTTTAACATTATTGCCCCGCCAAATGTTATCGGAAGCCCTCCTAATCAGTATAACGAGCCAGGCAACGGTCTCCCCGATTTTATCATCGAACGTAACAATCTCTTCGAGGAGCTGTGGCAGCAATACCTGGAAGAGCTCAAGAACAAGCCCCACAACGATATCAATGTCACCATTCAACTTGGTGACGGCAACACCGCCAATGTCACCGCGAAGGCCTTCGAGACCACCCCCGCTCAGCTTCTGAAGAACGTCCCCAAAGAATTGAGCGCTAGCATTGTTATCGCGAAGGTGGACAAGGAACTATGGGATCTTGGCCGCCCGCTCGAGGGTGATTGTACCGTCTCTTATGTGCCGTTCGAGCATCCCGAGGGAAAAGAGGTCTTCTGGCACTCCAGCGCGCACACCCTGGGAGAGGCCTGTGAGTGCGAGTTCGGTTGTCTTCTTTCCCACGGTCCTCCCACCCCCCAGGGCTTCTTCTATGATATGGCCATGCCCGATGGGTACGTTCATCCAGTCTTTGCCTCTGGGAGTGCCCTCGCTAACTGCGGAACAGTCGTGTCGTCAGGGAGACTGATTGGTCGGCCTTGGACAGCAAAGCCTCTCGTATCTTCAAGGAGAAGCAGAGCTTCGACCGGTTGGAGGTCACCAAGGAGAACCTTAAGAAGATGTTCGCATACAGCAAGTACAAGCTTCACTACATTGACAAGTTAGTGACCGGCGAAAAGAGCACTGTCTACCGGTGCGGTACTCTTGTCGATCTGTGCAGGGGTCCCCACATCCAGAGCACTGGCAAGATCAAGACTTTCAAGATCATGCAGGTATGTTCGGTCGTGGTATCTCTATCTCATAGAGGCTTGTTGCTCATATTCCATAGAATTCTTCGGCGTACTTCCTTGGCGACCAGAGCAACGACTCCCTACAGCGTATCCGTGGTGTCGCCTTCCCTGACAAGAAGCTGATGTCCGAACACCTTAAGTTTCTTGAGGAGGCAGAGAAGCGCAACCACCTTAAGCTCGGAAAGGAGCAGGAGCTTTTCTTCTTCGACGAAGTCTCTCCTGGATGTCCCTTCCTTTTGCCCAACGGTACTAAGATTTTCAACGCTCTCCAGTCCCTTCTGCGCTCAGAGTATCGCAAGCGTGGCTACCAGGAGGTCCAAACCCCCAACATGTATGATGTTGGTATCTGGAAGACTTCCGGTCACTGGGCGCACTACAAGGACGACATGTTCAAGTTGGACGTCGAGAAGAGAGAGTGGGCGCTGAAGCCCATGAACTGCCCTGGGCACTTCGTGCTCTTTGGTCACCGTGACCGCAGTTACCGTGAACTTCCTTTGAGAATCGCGGATTTCGGTGTCCTGCACCGCAACGAGGCCTCCGGCGCTCTCAGCGGACTGACCCGTGTCCGCAAGTTCCAGCAAGATGATACCCACATTTTCTGTACTCAGGACCAGGTAAGGAATTGGCACGAGCTTTCCCAGAATTGCACAATGGAACTAATTCAGCGTAGATCATGTCTGAGATTGAGGGTCTCTTCGACTTTCTGCAGTCCATCTACGGCCTCTTTGGCTTCACCTTCAAGCTCAAGCTCTCTACCCGCCCTGAGAAGTACTTGGGTGAGCTTGCAACCTGGGACTATGCCGAAGAGCAGCTGAAGGCTGCTATGACCAAGTTCAAGGGCAGTGACTGGTACATTGACGAGGGCGATGGAGCCTTCTACGGCCCCAAGATCGATATCACCATTGCCGATGCCCTCAAGCGAGAGTTCCAGTGTGCCACCATTCAGCTCGACTACCAAGCTCCTATCAACTTCAAGCTTGAATATATGACCAACGAGAAGACCCAGACGGCCCAGATGACCCAGGAGGAGCCTAAGGAGGGTGAGACCAAGTCCACGGAGCCTGGTCCTGGTCGCGCTCGTCCCGTTGTTATTCACCGCGCCATCATCGGCAGTTTCGAGCGTTTCCTTGGTATCTTGATTGAGCACTTCGGTGGCAAGTGGCCTTTCTGGATCAGTCCCCGTCAAATCCTGATCGTCCCCGTCATGCCCGCTGTCAACGACTACGTCGAGGAGTTACAGCAAATTTTGCGCGCTGATAAGCTGAACGTTGACATCGATATCAGCGGTAACACCATGCAGAAGAAGATCCGTACTGGACAATTGCAGCAGTACAACTTCATCTTCGGTAAGTTCTCTTCTTTTTGTGCAAATTTTTCTCACTTATGTTAATACCGTCATTCTAGTTGTCGGTGCCCAAGAGAAGGAGAACCGCTCGGTCAACATCCGTAACCGTGATGACCCCGCCACCCAGAACAAGGGCATCATGGTTCCTCTGGAAGAGGCCCGTGAGAAGCTCCGCAGTCTGCGGAAGGAGCGCAGACTGGTCAACTCTCTGTAAAAGGAGAATTCTGCCCTCCTGCTCGCTGGTAGAGTGAGTTGCTTAAGAATACTCAAGATTTACGTGTCGATATACCATAGTTTTAGATCCTAGCTCGCATGAAGAGCCAATGCCAGGCAGGAAAGAAAGACAGACTAAGATGCGAGAGGTAGTGCTTATAAAATTAAAGAAGGGATGTTGGTCTTGTTATTGAGCTGGAGTTTGGATGATGATGATGATGATGATGTGTTTGTTCAAGCATACGTAGCTTGGGAAAAGCTGGATTTGTGAAAAGATTCGAATTTATCTTGGTATCAATTAGATACCAATGGCTCGATTGGCGGCATTTAGACTACTTTGTCGGGTCCTTCCCGGCTAAACTACTTAGCAAATGCTTATGAGGCACGCTAAATTCACTCAGCGGAATGCTGTTAGTTTAGCATGCCAGGACCCTGACTGAGCTGGTTTATTCTTATTCGTACGGTCTCCTCGGTGCTTCATATCGAAGATTGCCTTTGCTCTCTCCTGAAGATTGGTACGGAGTAGATACAGTACCTTGCTTGATCCATCATATTCCTCTATGAGTGTTGAAGATCCACCCGAGCCCCTCTCTCCACCTATGTCAACGTAAGCTTCAGAGGGCACTTCCTCCCTTTCTTCCTTTCCCCCCCTCCCCGGGGCAATTGTTCCGAGTCTTCTGCAACAATCCTATTCATACACATTTCGCCGTGCTAAGGTGTCTTCTCCACACCCCAGAACAAAGAAAGCGAGGTGATCATCGTCATGTCTGATCCCTGATGATGTCTCGAATCAAACGTCACCCCTCCCTGCTTATCGCGGCCACGTTCCTCGCCGCATGCCTGATCTTTCTCCTCTCCTCGTCCCGCGGGACCGCCACTACTGAACCCCTGTCTCTCAATGATTTGAACCAGCCGTCGTCGTCTTCCAATGATTACACGAACCCGTGCTACGTGGATCTCGATCTCCTGCGGCAATATTCTCCCACGTCTTCCTCAGTTGAGTACGCGCGAGTAGAGATCGCCGTGGATCAGTCAGACAATTTTACCGGGTACACAGATACCCTCAATGCCAAGTTTCCCAAATTCCAGACAGTGTCCCTAGAGGGTGATGCGCAGCGACAGGATCTTCCCGCCGAGCGATGCACGCCCGCCGTGACCATCCAGGGCCCCCGGCCGCGTCCTCGTCCCGATGCATCGCACCTGGTCTTCGGCGTCGCGACCTCGATGGACCGCCTGCTTGAGTCTTTGGATGCCTTTGCGCATTGGGCCGGTGGTACAAACGCGCGGATTCTGGCCGTGGTGGACAGTGCCGGCTCTGCCAAGAAGGAGGCCCTGGCCCGGGCGGAGGCATTGGGGATCCGTTTGGTGATCCGGGAGAAGGCCGTGGAAGAGCGCTTGGATCGGTGGTTCTATCTGGTTCGGTACCTGTACGAACTGCGGGACGACAACACCCAATGGACGGTCCTGATCGATGATGATACCTTCTTTCCCTCGATGGAGCGGCTGGTCGACCGACTGGCCACCTATGACCCGACGCAGCCGCATTACGTCGGGAGCATGACTGAGGACCTGCATCAGTTGTATAGTGGGGGTTTGATGGCATACGGCGGGGCGGGGATTTTCCTATCGCTGCCTCTGGTCCAGCAGCTGCAGCCTTTCTTCGACGAGTGCTACGTCTTCAAGAGTGGCGGCGATCGTATGCTCTCGCAGTGCATTTACGCGCATACGAACACGAAGCTTACCTGGGAAAAGGGCCTCTTCCAAGTTGATCTCCGCGGGGATGCGTCCGGGTTCTACGAGGCGGGTCGGGAACAACCGCTCTCCGTGCACCACTGGAAGTCCTGGTTCCAAGCGGACATGGTGGCTCTGAGTAAGGTGGCTAGCATCGCTGGCGATGAAGCGTTACTCCATAGGTGGCTTCTACCAGGAGACTGGTACCTTGTGAACGGCTTTTCGGTGATCCAGTATGCTACAATTTCAGATGATCCATTGCCCATGGAGCAGACCTGGGATGACAGCAAGTATACGGGGCCGGATCCGTTCACATTCAGCCTAGGACCGCTTCGGCGGAAGGATGCGAACAAGATCTCGTATCGCCTGCAGACTGCAGTGGCAGAGCGCGAGCGGGTGCGACAGATCTACACGCGACAGGTAGAGCCGGAGAGGCTAGAAGTGCTGGAAGTAGTCTGGGCTGTTGCCTCAGCAGACAGTCGATGATCTTACTTCTTAGATTACAATCTTAATTTAGCGCAAATAGACCGAATGAATACCATTTATGAGCTCTCAAGCTGATTGTAATCAGGTGGTGGTCCTGGGCGGCGCACATTAGGTAGATCTTACATTGAGCGGCTGAATTGCTGGTGCATGCAGCGACTCGCCAATGCAGTCATGCCATCCTCCGATTGTAGCTAGGAGCTTGCCTTCAGCTAGGTCAGAAATGCTTATTTTATGCCATAGGAACATCCTTGTGCCTGTGGGAACTTGGAAGTGGCTACTATTCAGTGATACTTTCGACCTCAATAATAAAAAAAATTAGGCCGCCGTGATAGGCAAAATCCTTTTCCCAGGAAGCTGCGACCATATCACAGATGTGGTCAGGCTGCATGCATTTATTATCACGAGGTTTATTGCTGCTGCTGCTGCTGCTGCTTGCTTCTCACTCGTGCAGCACGGTGCGCGCTTCGTAGACCCAATCAGCGGAGCTGTCACATTTCAGCTTGTCTCCATCAGCCCCTCTCTTTGCAACAAAGCAGACAGGCGGTTATCTGTCTGCTGCAGCGGTTGGGTCTCCGGTGGGTTTCAGGACTCGGGACACTGGAAGACTGGGACACTGGGTCCATCCAGCGATCGAGGCTAGCGAGTAAAAAGGAGCATATCGTGGCCTTCTCGGTCGGCCTGGGCTTTTTTTCTTTTGTTTTGCCAATTTCCAATTGCCCGCCTAGTCGTCCTAGTGTACCCTTCCTTGGCGGGGCGTTCCGGACGGGTTGACAGTCACCCAATCCTTGGTTCTTGTCTGCATTATTACGGAGCTGTGGAAGTATTGATTGCGCTCTCGTGCGCGTCAGGCGTGTCTCTCGTATAATTGATGGTGTCCGGGATGTAAATGATGGAAGGGAAGGGGTTGAAATGAAAGAAAGAACAAAAGTTAGAGCGAAAGAGAGAGAGCAAGAGTCAAAAGAAAGCAACGTTGAACTTTCCCCCTCATCCCTCATCCCCAACTACAAACAAACTATTTGCTTTGTACCCCACCGGGTCGGAACAACTCGCCCTCCCCCTCTTTCCCCTTTGAGCCTCCTTGTCTCTCTCTGTCTCGCTCTCGTTCGCTCACTCGCGCCATCCTCAACTCAACTCAACTCAACTCTCGCTCGCTCTCCGTCTCCTCTTCCCGTCTTTCTCTTTCTCTTGCTCTCCTCCTCTCCTGCTATCCTCTCTTCCTTCGTTTGTTCTTGTCCTCATTGTTTGCTCTCATCTCGCTCTGCCGCTAGTTCAACATGTCCGACCTGCAGGGCCGCAAGATCTTTAAGGTCTTCAACCAGGACTTCATTGTCGATGAGCGCTACAATGTCACCAAGGAGCTAGGTCAGGGCGCATACGGTATCGTCTGGTATGTTGTGCTATGATGCTTCCCAACTGCCATGAAGACTAAGATCGGACAGTGCTGCTACCAACGTGCAGACGGGTGAAGGTGTTGCCATCAAGAAGGTCACCAATGTCTTCAGCAAGAAGATCTTGGCCAAGCGCGCTCTGAGAGAAATCAAGCTGCTTCAGCACTTCCGAGGCCACCGTAACGTACGCTTTCACCCCGTTTATCTTGACCTCTGGGAAATCGCTGACTCGAGCTTGTTGCAGATCACTTGCTTGTACGATATGGATATTCCCCGCCCGGACAACTTCAACGAGACCTACCTCTACGAAGGTGAGCTCCCCCACCCCGACTGATGACTTGAAGTGGTCGCTCACACAATGCGTCGCTCCTATAGAATTGATGGAGTGCGATTTGGCCGCTATTATACGCTCCGGACAGCCCCTCACCGATGCCCACTTCCAATCCTTCATCTACCAAATTCTCTGCGGTCTCAAGTACATCCACTCGGCGAACGTGCTGCACCGTGACTTGAAACCCGGTAATTTGCTGGTCAATGCCGACTGCGAGCTCAAGATCTGTGATTTTGGTCTGGCCCGCGGCTTCTCGATCGATCCGGAGGAGAACGCAGGATACATGACGGAATACGTCGCCACGCGCTGGTACCGCGCCCCGGAGATCATGCTGAGCTTCCAGAGCTACACCAAAGCTAGTAAGTGATATCCTGTTCTTTCCATGTCGTGCGAGATGCTGATATCAGGACGCAGTCGATGTCTGGTCTGTCGGATGTATCCTTGCTGAGCTGCTCGGAGGCCGTCCATTCTTCAAGGGTCGCGACTATGTCGACCAGCTCAACCAGATCCTGCACTACCTGGGAACCCCCAACGAGGAAACCCTTAGCCGCATTGGCTCCCCACGGGCCCAGGAATATGTGCGCAACCTTCCCTTCATGCCGAAGGTCCCCTTCCAGCGCTTGTTCCCCAACGCCAATCCCGATGCCCTCGACCTGTTGGACCGCATGCTTGCTTTCGACCCCACGTCGCGTATCTCGGTTGAAGAGGCGCTAGAGCACCCGTACCTGCACATCTGGCACGACGCTTCGGACGAGCCCACATGCCCTACCACTTTTGACTTCCACTTCGAGGTTGTCGATGATGTGGGTGAGATGCGCCACATGATCTACGACGAGGTCGTGCGTTTCCGCTCAACCGTCCGGCAGCAGTCGCAGGCGCAGGCCGCCGCGGCCCAACAACAGCAGGCTGCGCAGCAGACGAACGTGCCCATCCCCGAAAATCAGCAGGGCGGATGGAAGCAGGAGGAACCCAAGCCCCAGGAAGCGCTCGCCGCGGGCGGTGGCCACCAGAACGATCTGGAATCGTCTCTGCAGCGTGGCATGGATGTGCAATGAGTGTGTGCGGTTGCTGCCTGCGCTGAGCTGCCGGTATCATCCATGAACCATCAATGACTGCACTACCAAGGGATGACCCATGGAAGATGAAAGATGAAAAAGAAGAGATCTAGTACGGGGCACGATTACTCCCCACGTAATATCCGTCGATTCGAACCCCTCTACAAACCAAATTCGTCGACTTTTCCGTTGTCGTTCTGGAACTCGCGGGCGTTTCCGGGACTGTCATCTGCCCGATATATGCTATGTCTATTACCCTCCAACAATATAAAACCTTCCCGGTTGACTGTCAAATCTATTCTTCTGAGTCGCAAATAAACTAGAAACCAAAACTAGATGAATTCCCCTGTGTATCTACCCTTTTCGAGGACTTTTTTTTTCGCCGTCTGTATGGTTGTGTCATAAATGAGAGTGCTTCATCTGGTTGACTCAATCCCCGAGGTCTTCTTCCCAGTGACAAAATGCCCCTTATTCCTGCTTCGTCCGAGAAGGAAGTGTTCGTTGAAAGATAAATTAGTTGTAAAACGAGCCGCCATGGTATTCGTCTTCATCAGTCATAAATACCATTGATATGTTCCACTATACTATACAGATCAATTCCACGTATCATCATCGAGAGAACCAGGATCTCGAATCCTTTCTTCCCCCTACACTTGAAAAGCTCCACGTAGGAGAAACGAGCAAAATCCAGAGGAACCCCAGACAAGGTCCCCAAGAGATCACCGTTCAAATGCCCCTTCTCACCCCACCACAGAATCTGTCACGTGATCTTCCAAGACAGTAGGTAGCCAGAAGATAAGACAAAATCAGAACCCCCCCGGGCCTTTCCTGGAAATCAGAGCTATATAGACAGAGCTAAACAAGAGCCAGACGTATATGAAATAATCCCCAAAAAGAGATCCAATCCGGATAGATATATGTCCCACCAACCGGATTAGTCCAAGCTCAAGCTCAAGCTCAAGCGTTTCAGTAGTAATACCCGCGCCACCAGACCGCCATACAAGCGGCGACCACCAGATCCAACATCTTGATGCCTTCGTCCTCGATGATCAGCTTGCCGAGCTTGGCGGATTTGCCGCGCATGCCGCCGCCGGCGCGCTCGCGGGCCAGGGAAAAGTCGAGGCGTTCGTCTTCGCTGGCGCGTCGGCGCAGGAGGAGGGCTTCCTCTTCCTTTTGCTTGGCGTGGTGGTGGTGGTGGTGGTGGTGGGGATCGTCGAAATCGCCGCCGCCGCCGCCGCCGCCGCCGCCGCTGCTGGTGCTGCTGTTGGATGGGTGACGGGTATGTTGTTGATGATGTCTGTGCGGGCTACCGCCGCCAGCTCCGAGGCTTGAGGTGCTGGCGCCGGAACGGGCGCGGGGACGGGTGTAGGTGTTTGGGTTGAGGAATTGAGCGAGGGAGTTACGTTTGGACGTGGTGGAGGCGGCGGAGGTTGGTGTTTGCGGGGAGGAGATGGTGGTGGTGTTGGTGGGGTGGCTGGATTCGCCGGGAGGGATGGTGAATTGTTGGGGATTGGAGAGTTCACGGAATGGGGTGGTTTGGCTGAGGGCGAAGGGGGAGACGTGGGATGGGCCAGGGGGTTGGTGGAGATGACCGGCTTGGAAGGGCGTGTTGAAGCGGATCTCGGCCACGGTTACGGCGGGAATTTCCGGGGGCTGCGTCGTAGTCGAGGCAGAGGATGGGAACGGGTGAGTATGGCTGCTGTCGTTGCTTCTGCTGTGAGAGTGATGGGGGCCGCCAGGCGTGGGGATCATATGTTTGCATTTCAAGCTGCGGCCGTTGACGCTGGTGGAGAAAGTGCAGATGCCGTTCCAGGGTGACGTGAATGTGTAGTAGCCGCTCTTGAGTTTGGACATGCCAGGCGGGAGTGGCTTAGGCGGACTGCCGCTGCCTCCATAGTCTAGCGTCGCGCGGTTCATGTCCAAGGAGCCCCCTCGAGGCTCATCTTGGATATATGGTCGTGAGACGCAGAGCTTGCGGCGGAAGCGTCGAGGTTGAGAACGGTCGTTTGGGGCGGAAGCCGCCTTGGGACTTGGGGTGGGGTCCAGGAAGCCAGGCGGAACAGAAGCAGGAAGCTTGAATGATGCCAATGACGGTGGTCGTCCGTCGGTATTGGGAAGATTCAAGCCCAAACTCGCAAGGGAGAAAGGCTCATCCTGCGCCAGGAATCGATTGTAACCCGGGGTGGAGATCTCGATATCAAAGGCGCTACCGTCCAAGCGGGGAGTGGAAATCGTCGCGACATTCCACTGACTGCCATGTGTGGGATCGCGGCGAATAAGGGTGATGTGAAATCCGGGGGTATCGCGGGGTTGACGCTCCTGCGGTCTCCGGCTTGGAGACTGGCCAGGGCTTCGCGCAGGCGATCCTTGAAAAGAGCGCGCGGGGCTCCCATGTGCCGAGTGTGGCCGGATCTCAGGCCGAATTCGAGGCCGCCTAGTGTCCAAGCTATTGCGACTGGACGACAATGCCTCGTATTTCTCCTTCCAGCTTTCCTGACCGCGAGATATGTACCCCGACAACGCCGCGCTCCACCGGTTGGATCTCTTCGTCGAGGCAGCGTCACTAGCTGCAGAATCTTCCAGCGGGACTGCAGGTAGATGCTTGGGTGGACGCGCATTTTCCAGATTTGTAAGGTCTCCCGTGGCGAGCTGCAGAACGCTGTCGCGATCATCCAGTGGCAGATGTGGCGGAAGGGTGACAGGCGAGGTTTGACTGGGCACGGTGCCTTGGAAGCTAGGACGATAGGGGAGATACGGACGCTGTAAGGTATCCAGCACCGGTGGCGGGGATTGGGGTTCCTGCGATTGCCATGAAGGTGGGCGGGGATGGGCTGGAAGCGGAGGAGATGCGACATTGGTTTCTGCCTTGGGCGAGGCAGCCGCATTCGCGCCGCCCGGTACAGGCTTGCGCCGGACATTGTTCAATCGCGCCAGGTGTGGTGGGCCTGCAAGAGGGGTGTCCGCTTCATCTCCGAGAGCCTCCTTGCGCTTCCGGGCCTCCTCTTCGCGCTCCTTTTCGTATTCCTGGAGAAGAGCTTCATCTTCGGGGGTTGCGACGTGCAGGTAATAGAGGGAGGCGTTGATAGCCTCCGCCGATACGCTCGATTTCGTGGGGGGTTTCAAGGGAGTGAGGAAGACATCTATAATGGCGCAAACCAGACAGAGCAGTTAGCAGTTGTTCATCAAGTAGAAAAAGCGAATCAAGGAGAATTAGGTGGCTGGGTCGCACGACTAGCCTCAACGGCAGGCGACCGATAGTGATAGTGCGGGGTATTTGCCGATATCATGCAGTAAGGGTCTGGATGGTTCGCAGTGTTTACCCACCTCTACTACCGGGTACACGCACGATGTACAGGACTAGGGGGTCCAACTTCTTCTGCGCCGGATTGCGGGGGTAAGCGGGAGGATTCGAGGCGATGGCAGTGATCGAGGAGAGCGAGCGGGCCTCGACGGGGGCTCGAGGCAGCCCTGAAACAGCCTCCCCCTCCCCCGCAGAGTCAACCTTCGGCATGGGATGTGGAGGCGAAGTCCTGAAGTGAGACGGACTACGCAGACCGTTGCGCTCAGAGATCCAAGCCAGGCGAGGCCAAACAACTATCGAGTCGGAGTACCAGAAGGCAAAGAACGAGAGGAGGAAGAAAGAGGCTGGGAGAGAAACAAACAAGAGGCGCGGAGAAGCCGGAGAAAACGCCAAGAAGATGTGTCGATCGTCATCGGGCAGCCATACGAGAGACGGGAGGTGAGGAGCAGGATCACGAGAGATCGCGGAGTTGGTAATAATAGGAGGGCATAGTTTGGAGACAATAGTTGTTACACAAAAGAGAGTCGGTTGTGGATGAAGAGGCAGAAGAAGAGGAGGAAGAGTGAAGAGCAGGACACGAGCTTGCACTCGGCGGGTTGTTTGGTTGCCTGGCAGCCCCCCTTCTTCTTCCCCCTTCCACCTTTCCGGTTGACGGCCAACAATGCCTCAATACAACACAGTCAACACAATATATATCCATTGAGATGATGGCAGATGGGTGATTGGTATCTCGCTAATAATATATCTCCATAAGAAAGAAAGCCCAAATAAAGGAAACCCGTAAACCTCCAGTCCTCCAGTCCCAGATCCCATTAATTATTCCCCAATTCGTCCATCCAACCACTCTAGGTAGATACGACCGTCGAAGGACAAGCCATAAGAATGCCGAGGGAATGACAGACAGCCAGTCTGGAGAGAGAGAGAGAGAGAGAAAGAAAGAAAGAAAGAAAGAAAAGAAGAAAAGAAGAAACGAAAAATGAAACGAAATGACCGTCACCGCATGAGCGCCAATGCTCCTTTCAAATGTATATGCCCGTGATCCATCCCCAAGACCATGTGTTCCAAGACAGGCTTAAACAACTGTCTCCGATCGCTCGCCGGTTGCAATGATTGGCACATTAAGCCCACGCTCGGGGCTCTGCAGCACAAGCTGCTCGTGACGTCGCGCTCGCAGGAAGTCGCTAATGGCCCGAATCAGGATAAACCACCCGACAATCATCAAAACATAGGAAATCCATTCGCTCGTGGTGATGCCAGACATGCCCCCACCGCCTCCATCACCTCCCGTGCTACCATCAACATTATTAGGGTCAAAGCTGTGGCTGTTGGGATCGGGAGGCGTGACATAGTCTGCGCCGCCTTCGTCCGACCCTTTCGACTCATTGCCGCCTTTCATGTAGAAACCGTATTGCACCAAAGTCAGACCGAGACCCGCCCGGCTACCGTTCTTGGCTGCATGTGTGGTGTGAAGTAGATAGGTCAAGAGGAAGCCAACCAGCTGGAAAGACATGGAGATCATAGCATTCCAAACGAACGAGAAGATCGAGCCGACCGGCAGCCCGTCCACGAAAACCTCGTCCGAAGAGATACCGGGGGCCAGAATCGTCGTCTCCCAGTATGGCGGGGTGGCGTCAGCTGCTGCTTCTTCGTAGGACTAATCATCGATAATCAGTACACATATCCTCCCGTGGCAACCCAGCGCGCGGATTACAAAGCACATACCGGTGGTAAATCCTCGTTCTTCTCCCCACGCTCGGGCTTGGCTGCCAGATTGGCGAATACACCGTCGTTCGCCGAAGTAACCACCCGGCTTGCTCCAGAGCTGGGGGTGCTGAAGGACGGCAAGATGGTTGGTCGTCGCTGGATGCCTCCGGAACCGCGGGTCTCCCCTGAGGACGCCTCAGGGCTGGCGCCCGCTCCGCCAGACGAGGAGGCGGCTGTGGTGTTCGCTGCTGCCGCACTGCTGTGATTGTCTGCCATTGCCCAGGGTTCTGGCTGGGCCCGCATTAGCCGCTGACGGTCATCGGGCTCGTCGTCGGATTCGGAGTCGCTGCCGTCCCCGAAGGCATCGGCGAGGGTCTGGTCGGCATCGTGTCGGCGAGGGTCATCGTTGGGGAGAAGGCGTCGGGAAGAGAAAGAGGATGAGCGAGAACGAAAGGAAGGGGGAGGGGAGTTCGGGGTCGGGCTAGGTCGGAGAGGGATGGACGATTGGGATTGAAGGTGGTCGTCTTCATCGTGGGCGTTAACCTGCATTTGATCCCATCGCGTCAGTTCTTCTGATATAGTACCAAACACACCGCGACCCAACAAGCACAACAAGAATGCTGCCACTTCCGACCACGGCCTTGGGTGGGAAAGTGTTCTTTGATTTGCATACCCTTTGATAACGCTGCGAGCTCATAATGAGCGGAGCGAGCGGAGCGACCGGATCGGAAGGGAAAGGAAAGAATCGAACACAGTCAAGACGAACACCCCGGACAAGATAGAGCGATCGACAAAGAAGACAGGAGGAAAGGGAGAGAGCAACCCAAAGAGGATGTGGAGGGGGTCAGAAGATGGGATGGCGAGAATTGGTGGAATGGAAGGAGATGATCGGGGATGACGAGGAGACGGGCGTAAGGCACTAAGGCACCGCTGGGTGGGTGGCGCAAGGCTGTGGGGGCCTTAGGCAGAAGCCAATCAGTAAGCAAAGAAGCATGAGTTGGTTGCACAACATACTTCTTGGCATGGCTGCTATGAGTATGGATGCTGTGAACGACCCTATGCAGGAATTCGATGATGTACGTACATCTTTAATCATAACATCATACAACGTATACTGAATAGTGAAAAGAAGGTCAATTGTGCGACTTCGGCGCGTTTTTCCGGACTATCTATACATTGCATCCACTACACACGGACTTGCATGCTCAGCAGATGTATGGCCACCGACTGACAACTATGGCTCACAATGCGAAATTACGCTTTTCTTGACCTCAAATTCCCGACAGTACATCTCTTGTATGCAATTTTCACAGGATCAACTATGATGAAATATGGTTTCCTGAAACATCTCCGCGCAGTCGACGGTAGAACTACTTAAGATCTAGACTCCAAGAGATGGAGATCCAAGCCGATAGCAACAAGAACTTCACTCGACTGTTTAAAGAACTTCATCATACAAGTTAATCCTCATCCAGTATTTACAGTCTGGACTTTTGTCACGACTTTGTCACGACTTTGTTCGCTCCATACCTACCAGACAGCACCAGCCGCCTACCCAATCCAACAGCCCAACACCATGGCCTCAGAACCGAACAACGACTCCCACCGCAAAACCTGCCTCATCCCCTACGTTGATCCCAACACTGCACCCTCAGACATCCAGGAGCGCCTCAAAGTCCTCCCCTTCCGGCGCAACATCCTCCTCATTCTCGCTCACTCGCAAGGTCTCTTCCCCCACATCAGTGGCCTGCTGGGGGCCTGTTTCGATGGCAAGCAGCGGAAGCTCTCGCTCTTCGACTGGCAGGTCGTGGTGCTCCGAGTGTCCCATGCTCTCGATGCGAAGTATGAGTGGGATGTCAACATCCCCGTAGCCGAGGCGTTCGGCTTCCCTCCGGAGAAGGCCGAGGCCATGGGGTGCTCGGCCCAGGATGTGGTCGAGGGGAAAGGGCCCTGGAGTGAGCGGGAGCGGGAGATCTTGCGGCTCGTAGATGAGCAGGTGAAGGGGACGACCAATGAGCCGGACACGGTGAAGGAAGCTCTGCAGCATTTGGACGTGGACGAAGTGGTGGAGGTATTGGTCATGACCGGGATCTACGCGATGTTGGCGGGGGTGATGAGGGGGTTGAAGATCGACGACGATGAGTTCATTCCGGACTTCCAGGAGAAGATTAGAGGTGCTGTGTCTGAGAATTAACGGGAGGATACGTACATTCTCTGATTGCAATGCTATACCTAGAACTACACTTACCTCTAATCTTTCCATATTCGGAATAGATTACCCTGATTGCTGTATTGTTCAGGAGCAGACGCAGACAATAGTGGAAACACCGGCCACCAGCATCAGCCCCTAATTCTTCAAAAAGGAATCTGAAAGAAAGAGATCTAAATTTCCAAGAATATAACTTTCTCTCAATGAACGCATATACACACATAGTTCGTCCCAATTTCATAAATGATCGACCGGTTGCTGATTCTACATAGTATGTAGATAGCTTACTAATTCCTGACTAACGAGCATAAGCACATGCAGCTCCGCAACAAAAGTGCATATCGCGATAGAACCTCATCCCGCGAATTAATTCAATCCTATACAAAACCTCCTTCCAGCAACTCATCCCCACGCCAACTCCCACACACTCTGAACCTCGGACCCTCAACCACCCAACTCCACCCTCAACCACCACTTCTCCCCCTCGGGCAACCCCCCACCCAAACACGATGGCCACCAAAACACCCGTACGTCAACCTGACCCTACAACTCCCTCAAAACCCTCCCTCCCAAAACACCCAAACCCCAACTAATCCCCCTCTCAAAAAAGTCAACAACAACCCGCATAACCCACCTCCTCACGCACTGGCCCAAAGACAAAGTCCGCCCGGCCTCCGTCTCCATCCACAACTACCTGCAATCGCGCCTCCCCCAACCGCAACCGCAACCGCAACCGTCGTCCTCCGCCACCACAACCCAAAAAGCCACTACAAAAACCGGCCTCTCCGCGGCCAACCTCGACGCCCTCACCGCCCTCCTCAACGACAAGTTCGCGCGCCGGTACCCCTTGCCCCCGCGCCTGCGCCACCCGGCCAGCAACCCGCAGCACTACGAGAACGTGATCCGGGAGTTCGACGAGGCGCCGGACCGGGATTGGTTGGGCCGGCTGCGGAAGAAGGTCGCAGGGATGTTGCGGTTGAAGTAGGCCTTTTACCTTGTGGGTGTTTTGTTGTATGATAGGATATAAGAGGATAGGGGGTTGGATGGATGAATGGATGGATGGGTAGAGGTAGACTGGGGGATTGGTGAAAAGCCTTGGGCACGGACACGATACTCTACTCTTGAGATTTGGGATTGTAATAACATGTGGGGGGAAACATTTTGTTAGATGGGTTGGGTGGAATATGCTTTGCGTGCGTCGGTTTTCTTTTGACCTTTTTTTTTTTTTTTTTTGCTTGATACAATCGCGTCTGTCCCGGCTCCCAGTCTTGTTGTTCTGTTTCTCTTTCGTTTTTGATTTTTTTTTTTTCTTTTTTTTTTTTTTTTTTTTGACTTTGGGAGAAGCTGGAGTTCGGTTGTGGGGGAATTCGAAAACTCGAAAACTCGAAAGAAGAGGATGGGGATGGGAAACATGTCCTGTACTATACTGTATTGTACTTTTATGGCGCATGGCGCAACCAAACTTGTATATATTTCCCACAATGATGCGCAGCAATCAAAAGTGATGACATTTATTTCGACTTCGACCCAGAATACAATTGCAATACTTCGTTCATTCTTATTCATCTATGTACAATACAATCCATATCTTCCAACCTGAACCTGTCAGGCAATTTCACACAATATGTCCAACCCTGTCAATCCAGCTTCCAAAAAGATGCAACAGAATCCAATCACAGCATGGGCTTCACATCGTCGGCGACCTTGAAGGGTGCCTCGGTCTTGCTGCGCACCTCCTCCACAGTGACTCCATCCGCCAGCTCGACGAGCGTTAACCCGTCAGTGAAGTCAACATCGAATACGCACAGCTCCGTGATAATGCGGCTGACGCAAGTCTTCCCAGTCAGGGGAAACTCGCACTGCTTGACGATCTTAGGGTTTCCCTTCTTATCGGTGTGCTCCATGGTCACAACCACCTTTGTCGCAGAGGGATTCGAGACAAGGTCCATGGCTCCACCGAAACCCTTAATCTTGCCTGGAAGCATCCCTGAACACCAAGTAATTAGCTTCATCATCTCCATCTCCAGCTTTGTATGATTACTCACAGTTAGCCAGATCCCCCCTTGCGCTGACTTGCATTGCGCCCAAGATCGTCAAATCAATGCGGCCCGACCGGATCATGCCGAAGGACTCATCGCTACCAAAGCATGCCGCGCCAGGCAACAGCGTCACCGTCTCCTTACCAGCGTTGATCAAATCCGGGTCCTCCTGTCCCTTCTTAGGGTAAGGACCCAACCCCAGAATACCGTTCTCGGACTGCAGCATGACCTCAACCGAGGGGTCCACGAAATTCGGGGCCAGCATCGGCATGCCAATCCCCAGGTTCGCGTACATGCCGTTTTTGAACTCCTTGGCCGCGCGCCGGACAATGCGCTCGCGCTTCGCGGCCGTCTCGCCCTTACCCAGCGCGGCGGCCTCGTCGGCGCCTTCCTCCTTGGCGAAGGTGAACTTCTCGATGCCCTTGGGCGTGGTACTCTGGACCACCCGCTTGACGTAGATCCCGGGCAGATGGATCGCCGCGGGCTCGATCTCGCCCACCTCGACGATGTGCTCCGCTTCGACGATCGTCGTCTTGGCGTTGCGGCCCATGGCACCGTTGAAGTTGGCCGCCGCATAGCGGAACTGACAGTTGCCCAGCTTGTCGGCCTTCCACGCCTTGACGAAGGCGTAGTCGCCCTTGATCGCCTCCTCCATCACATAGCTCTTCTTGTCAAAGACCTTGACGTCCCGCGGATGGCTGTACAGGGCCACGGTCCCGTCGGCGTTGTGCTTCAGCGGAAGCTCTCCGGTCTGCACGACGGTGCCGCAGGCCGCCGGGGTGTAGAACGCGGGAATCCCGGCTCCACCGGCCCGACACCGCTCGGCCAAAGTGCCTTGCGGGGTCAATTCCAGCTCAATCTCGCCCGTCAGGTACATGCGCTCGAAGGTCTTGTTCTCTCCAACGTAACTCGAAATCATCTTCTTGATTTGCTTGGATTGGAGGAGAAGGCCCAGTCCGGATCCGTCCACTCCGGCGTTGTTGCTGACGACGGTCAGGCCGCTGATGGCCGGGTTTTCCCGCACCGCGTTGATCAGAGTGTCCGGTACACCACAGAGACCGAAACCTCCGGCCAGTACCGTTGAGTTGGGCTTCAAATCCTTGATCGCAAGATCGGCGGAAGAGACTACCTTGTTGATCTCTGGCCGACGGATGCTGTGTGAGAACGCACGAGCAAGAAATCGCTGATGCTAGACAAGTGCCAACAATATTAGTACATGTGGAAAGTAAAAGATAAAGGGCCGAGAGCCTACCTTGCTGGGGTCGGTACCGAGCCTCCGCGCAAAGCGCAAGCCCGTAGCTAGTTGAGAAGGCATGATGGCAGTATGAGGAGAAGTAGAGACGGGAAACGCCGTGAGGGGGTGCACTCTATGCAGTGATCGATGGATATTCTGACTCGCAGTCACCTACTTAGAGCAGGTAGCAAAATCAAGATGTCACACAGGACGTAAGGAGAGTAGGTATGCAAGAGAAGAGAAATGAGGTTGAGCAGCGGAGAAGCTTCGCCTTTTATCGGGTTGAGAAAGGCAGCGAACGGCTTCAGGCGGGGAGATGCGGAAAGACAGCCGCTGCCCGCCGTCTTCCCCGGATTGAGAGGCGCTAACCCCACGGTTGGTTTGCTCGTCTCCGCAATCCGCACGAGAGAGTTTGGAACTCGAGTCTGGCCAACTGCCTTTCACTCAACCTATTTCGAATGTCCTAGATAATACTGCGAGATATTGACGTCGAAGTGATCACTTGTAGAGTGAATTTGAATTATTCTTTGCATTGTCTACTCCATAGTTGAATCATTAACAAGCCTTGCGGCGATTGCTGAGCCAGGGTCGGGATCGGACCCGATTCCGATCTGCGGCCCCCATCGGATCGGGCACCTGACTAAGCAGTGACTAAGCAGGATCGAGGTCGTCTGAGATTCTTCATGTGTGTCCATGTATGTGTATACATCGTACCCGTCATCATCAACCAGTCGTGACGCTGAACCGCACTAACTATTTACAGTAAAGCATACATAATAATCCACCAGATGCATGTGCAAAGAATATCGTACTGACCACAAAAAGAAAAAAAGCCTCTGCAGGACAGCATTTCCATATTAAATCGAAAGTGTCATGCAGAATCACAGACATTGCAGGAGCGGAAGCACCCACCCACCCACTGATAAGATCGACTCTCTAGTTCTCGTTTGGCGAGTGTGGGAAAAAGGAATCGTCCGTTGACCCCATGAGACTCATGGGGCTTTCCACGGCCACTCTTGCACCATGAAAAAAACACAATGCAGTCCATATTAACAAGCTGCGTCTTTCGCGTCACTCAAAACGCCCTTCAACCCTTCCGGCCATCGTATCATCTAACCCCTTGCGCTTCAAGGGATTAGGCGTTGCTTGTCGCCCTGGTGCTGGATCCCCGGAGTCTACCACACCACATCACGTAAGTCAGGATGAGTGCTGTAACCTGCTTCGATGGAATCCTTCTCCTTCTTCATGGGGTGGTCGGCGCCCGTACCTGATATGCTTTGGTCGGCCCAAATCGTATCATATGACGGCGGGTTCATATCCACATCTTCAGTCGATGGCACCGTGTTCGTGACTTCTCCCGTGGCGGCAAAGCCATTCCCAGGCGCCATCTCGAGTAATTCCCTGCGCACGGGATTGACCAGATCATGCTTCAATCGGTCGTTGACATAGACGAGGAAGTACGGCGTGGGAGGGTTGTACTGGCCCTGGTCTCGGAAGATTTCATCCACGTTATGCACCTCGTTCACCTCCTGGTCGTTGTACTTGCGCCACACATTGCGGTCAAAATCGAAGATGTAGATGTAGTAATGGCCGAACTCAACAGAGCCCTGGTGAATGAACACGGCATACAACCGGTAAGCCTCATTTTTGTGTTCAATGAACTGCTCGGCTATCATGGCTCGAGTCTTCTTGATCTCGTCCTGGACCTCTATTGAGGAGTCAGAGACACCGCGGATATTGTAATAAAAGACGGCATGGCAAAGAGGAGGAAGCACTTACGCGTTAACTCAGCACGGGCTATTTGAGAGAGCCGATCGACCTCTGCGCAAAGCTTTCTGGTATCCACGTCGAACAAGTGTTCGGCGGAGCCTGCGTCCTCGAGACGATCTGCAGCTCCCTCAGGCTCTACATTTGCAGAAGGCCCCGCGTCCTCGGCAAAATCTGTCTCTTCTGAAATACTCTCGATTTCGGAAAGAATCCTGCTGGCTTCGTCGAGCAATCCCGCTGCATCAACCTTGCCATCTTCCTACGAGAATGTTCAGTATGTTATCTCAATTGAGGAGGGGGGCTCTGGTAAACGTACGGTGCCGTGTAACAATTCTGACTGCCGAGCTTCGAGACTCTTCAGTGCGGCTTTCCATTCCCAACTCTGCTGCCGTTTTGCCATGATTTCAGGCGACTTGGTATCCATGTAGCGATCTAGATATATGGTTTCCTCCAAGCCGAGATGATGAGTTGACTTGAAGGAGCGTTTCGTTTGGGGGTCGAACTGGACGCGTTGGACCTGGATTTGGAGCACTGGGGGTAGCTTGCTAATAGTACCGAATCGCTCGGCGACGGTATTGTCGACATTGACTTTTTGAACATCGAACGCTCCGTCAAGCGCTGCATATATGTTGCGTGGACCTGATGCCACATCGACCTTGATGTCGCACCACCATTCTTCCATCGGACGAACGCCCTGCTCGGATTTGAGATAATATATGGTTTTCCCGTAGAACAAGCTGAAGAAAGGGAGCTGTTAGCGAGGGATTCTCAGTCTGCACATCTTCAACTTACTCCTTTACTTGATCAATCTGTTCGCCATCGGCCGAGTATGCAACAGGCCGGATCGCGCATTGGCTCTGAAACAGCACATTATTGATGACCTCCGTCACATCCTGCTGGGCTCCAATCTCCAGTTCTTCTTGAAGTAGTCTCTGGGGATCGATGACCGGGGTTGGCCGTGGGGGTACTGGTGGTGGTTGACTAGCTATCACGGGTTGCTCTGCCGAAGCAAGACCGCTCAAGGGCTCCGGGGTTACTTTCTGTGCGGCCTCCATCGTGGTGTCAGCAGGAGGCTCATTTTCCTTGTCGTCAGTATGAGGTTGCTGCGTCTCTTTCGCAGTCGTTTGTTCAGGTGGCACATCAGCGATGGCTGTGTTGGAGGCCTGCTCTTCCTGCGTGAGCTGCGGAGGACCAAGCGGGCCCAGAATCGGCATTCCCTCGAGTTCGCCCAGGGCTGCGGCGGGCCTGTAAGTCGAGATAGTAGAGCGGCGGCGAATGGCTTCTTCATTTGAGGTTCCAATGAGAGTCAACCGCGCGAGCTCTTGACTTGGTGTGACGTAAGGAAACGGAGATGTGATCATTTCCGAAAACAAGGTCCGCAACTCTTTCACGACTGTGTCATTAAAGGTAAGCCTCTGACTCTAACCGACAAAACGAGCAGCACTTACATTGCTGAGAGCGCTCGACCTCCTTCCTTGAAACTCTGCGGGACCCTACTTTCTTTCGACTCAGGTTCTCATCGCTCAGGTCCATGCTGAAATCCTCGAAGTGCAGGATCAAGTCGCAGAACCCACGAACAGAGAAGTAAAACTGCAACAAGCTGTTCAGGTAGCAGGTGTTGCCAATGTTCTGCAGCCCGACCGGCCACTCTGACAAGTTACGATCCGAACCAGGGCCCATTCCCGTGGCCTTGTTGGACAGAAAGCTGCTGTTTTTATGCTTCCCAATGATCTGCAAGGCCTGGTTGTACAATTCCACCTTGCTTGGGTCTTCCACCACACAGCACGTATACGCCGCCTCGATCAAATCATCGTCAACAGTGCGATTGTCTATGCGCAAGAGACGATACGCATCTCCAATGTCCATTTCACCCGCCGTCATCTCACCGGTCTTGAGAAAGTGCCTCAAGGCATCGGACTTCCGCGCCTCGGCAATAAGCTCAAGAGCTCGCCGCGCAAGATCTCTGTTTGACGGAGCATCCTCAACCTACGCGAAACACATTAGCCTGTGAAAAACTGAAGCGGCCATCAAGGGGGGCCGACCTTGGCAGTAAACAAGGAGATTATGAAGTCGTCGGCAGTTTCACTGGTAACACCTAAATAGTCCTGGGCTTGTTCCACAGTTGATACGCCTATCACATGAGTTAGCCGCGATCAAAAAAGCGCCTGGATCGCGCTGCTAAAATCTTACTATCGTCCGCCACGGATTTGATGCGGTCACTACGTCTGCTCTCGCCTATTATGCGCATCTGTCTGCGAGACTCTGATTCCTGGGCCGGGGTTGTGGAGCTCAGGTACGCGTTGAATGTCCCAATGATACTATCTTCCGTGAGCCGAGGGTTGTCATGAGCCAGACCGAAGTATTTATAGGCATCGGCAACATCGTCTTCGGTGAACCTTCCTTCGGCATACGCTTTAATGACCGCTTGTTCGATTACAGCGGCATCGTCACCGCCCCTTAGCTGTCCGATCTGTTTGAGGCATTTCAGGTATAAAGGCGCCCGCGCGGGGTCGACTGCAACCTGCCGGTTGAAAGCTTCAATGATCGTAGCGGACGACATATCGTCGACAGTGCCCAAATCTTCATAATAGCTATAGTCTTGTCAGCAGGTGCTAGCGAATTGAGATACGGCATCAACGCACGGTGCAGGAGCCAGTTGGAATTCTTTCGACCGGTCTGCATTAGGGTCTGGCATGATGATTAGCCGGGGATCATCCAGAAGATGCGAACCTTGCTTACAATCAGCCGCATCCAACGCACGAAGCAAGTCAAATATTGCTGGATCGCTTTGGTTTTCCACCTGATGACCCTTTCTTTCCATTACAGGTCGCTGCTCTATCAGTGCGGATATCTCGTGCAAGGCATCGTCGAGGAAAATCTTGAGCTGGTCCCGGTATGGATGTTCCGTCCATGGACTAGTCCGCGGAGGTTCCCAGAATCCTTCATTCTAAACGATAGTCAGGCATGGTGGTCGAGTAGGGCCAGACGCAATGTACGAACCTTGACAGTGAACCCTACGAATTCCAGCAGATCTTTGCAAGGAACACCATCGAGACCGAAGCTAGTTATGAATCTCTTGTTGTTGGACGAGATTGACTTGCCCTTGTCGGCTGCATTCAAAGAATTATTAAGGTATGCGCCGAGGGTCTCGAGAACAGTAATCGGCTGTGGCACGGCGAGGCCTTCCAGACGCTCTGGTTCTGCTGCAAAGGCCTCCTCTGCTCGCTGCTGAATGAGTTGAGGATCCGTCAATAGCTGTATCAATCTTTGAGAGAGTACAGGGGAGACCAGTCGGACCGACACCACGGTAGGACACGTGAGGTAGGAGCATTCGAACTCATACGTCTCTACAGTCTGTCCCTTCGGTGTCACATCTTGTCCCGTCGACTTATATACCAGGTGGTGCAAATGTTTCGGCGAGTTTTGGCTATGTTGGCCGATTGTAGGCGTCGAGTGCACGACCAGTTGCAGATGGTATCGGCACTTGCGGCATATAGCAGATACTTTGGGAGGGTTGGCGCTGCTCCTCCTCTCCGGCTCTGGCACAAGTGTTTGCTTCGACTTAATCACATAGTTATGGGGGCATGCGGCAGGAGATATGTACTCCGGTGGTCCAGTGTAATAATCAGGAAAGACGGGCGGAGCTTGGGAGAGGAGGTTACGGCCTGAAGCCGGGGGGTGGACAGGATCGTAGTCGCAAAGAGCCCGTACGAGACTGGGAGCAGTCCTGCCTGTAGAGCAAAGTGTTAGCGGCACTGACGCTTCAGAGTTGTGTGCGCGCTTTCGGTTTGAGGGAGTGTACGTACCTGACCTCTGCGTGGATGACATGGGTACGCTCTTGGTGAGCTTACTGCAGCGCGAGGGGTTGTGGCAGGCAACGGCAAAGCTTTAAGAAAGGGCCTCCCATCCAGTCATCTAAAGAGTATTAAAGTCGAGATGTAATGCGATGTAGGAGTCACTCGGACAACGGCTGGCAATATAAATTCGTGCAAATATAGTACGAGGTACGAGGCACTCTAGACAGTGGTAGCAACGGCGGGGAATGGTGAGCGGCCCGCACTCGGCCTGGCGGCAAGCTTGATGGGTCGTCTTTTGCTCTTCTTCAAGCACAACGGATTTCGGAGAAGCTCAAAATGAATCGTCTGAAACGCTAGAAAGAGATAGAGAACGAGAAGGTACCGGAAAATGTCAGTATCCTAGAAGAACAAGCGACCGATAGCCGGCGAGGAAATCTACTACCCGATAGCCCTCAATGGGGAAGCTCCTCAAGGAAACCCAGTGGTAGGCGGTGTCACCTGGCAGAAACTCTGACGTCTCCAAATTCATCCACGCCCGTCCGGCGACGACACTTGAGTTCCAGCTGCCACAGCCCTTAACACACCCACCTCACATCCCACCGCCACCATGGCCCCTCACTCCGATGAACACGATTACCACCCCCAGGATGCGCTCCAGGCCACCCTGAAGACCACTATGCTCACCGGTGGAGCGGGTCTTTTCGCCTCCGCCGTTCAGAACACCCTGACCAGAAAGAACGTCGGACCGTGGGGTGTGTTCACGAGGACTGGCGGCACAATCGGCATCTTCGGTACGGAATATCCCATTGCAACTGGCCAGTGATGCATGGACCGGTCCAATTGTCTCTCTTCGTTACTGACACCGAATGTCTAGCCGCAATGGGAGGTACCTACGCCTTTGTGAAGACCGCTTCCGCCAACCTTCGTCAAAAGGAAGACCACTACAACGTCGCGCTGGGAGGTTTCTTCTCCGGTGCTATTCTGGGACTTAGACGTCAGTGCCGCCCCATTGCTTTGAATGCTTCAATCCTATGCCCCCTCCCCCTCTCCAATTGGATTCACCGCTGACGAGTTCCGAATAGTCCGCACTTTCCCCGCAGTCCTGGGCTATGGTGTTGGCCTGGCCGTCACCCTCGGCGCTTTCGAATACACCGGTGGTTCGTTCTTCGGTCAGAGGCGGGATCCCAATGTCGACGAGTTTGAGCGCCGGGAGCGGATCAGAACGGCATACAGAACCTCCGGGGAGGAGACTCTTGCTCAGCTGGGTGAGGGACGAGGTAGGTTTTCCCAAATTGATAAAACGGCATTATCGGACACATGTTGGAGAACGCCGCTCAAAGCTAATGTTCTATCTTCCCAGGTATCTACGGCCCTGGATATGCCGAGAGACGGCGGGAGAGAATCAAGGAGGCGTACGGTATCGATGTTGCCACATCCTCCGCTCCTGCATCATAGAAACGGTTTCATTGAATTTTCCTCTTGCGCAGTCTTCCCTTCCTCCCATTCCCGATATATTCTTTTGTGTAAAATTATTGCGTTACCCAGATGCCGTTCAGCTAGCAGATTTGGCACGTCCCCACGAATGCACTTTTTTCCTACTCGTGTTCTGATCTTCCCCGGGAGAGAGGGTATTTCTGTGCAAGTAGTCGCCGAGTGTGGACTTCATCTACGTATTAGGCCTGAATCGGAAGTTAAGGAAGGTCGTCACGGATTAAGTAAAGTAAATGATACGGGCATACAAGAGCTAGAATCCGGCATGCCGCGCGATCTCTGAAGCGAAGTAGTGGAGAACAATAGTCCGTGCTTCGAGTTTTAACATGTTAGTCGTCACTTTTCTACCTTCAATTAGTTCAACTGTATACTAGTCAGCCCATCACTGAGAAGTCTGTATCGCAATTGCAGGCATTTTTGCCATAGCGAAGCATTGCATTGAATCATGTCTACCTCCGCATTTCTTAAATTATCACGGAGGGGTGCCGACCAATCACAAGGTCAGCTTATCAAAGCAGCAGAGAGTCTCTGTGTCACTGGATGTACATCATGGTTTACCATACGAACTGACTACTACTACAGCAGGTGAATACATGTGCTTCATGCATATATTGTGACTCTCAATAGATAGAAGATAGAAGATATCAAAGCGCCCGTGCTGCTCTGACATTGCTCGTAGTCGCGATGTCGCAACAAGTGCTTTTGCTCAAATGCAATTCCATGTGGGCTTGGCAAGAACTATACGCTAGCGGTGTCTGTACCTACTGAGTCGCTCTTTAGGACGGAAGAATCACAGCAGGCGATGAAGACTCCACAAAGGTCAACTCCAATAGCTTCTGGGCAATATGTTAGAGTATGCCACCCTGGCAAAAGTCCCTAGGTGGCCTGTCCGGTCGCCTCCAGCCAAAAAGCAACTGTGAAATAGTAACTTCAGAGTGAATGGATAGACAATCCAAGTCTCCGGATCTCAAGATCAGCTTGTTAGGTCCGCTGACGAACGTGATACAGGAAGTGGAGGACAGTGGCAGGAGCCGGGGCAGGAGCAGGACAGTGGGAGGCGAGCGGGATTATTCTCCGCATAATTGCGGGCATCTGCGACAAGCATTAAGTTAGATCGGGGATTAGTTAGTGTCTTAGATCAGAAGAGTTTACCACTTCACTCTACCTGAACCTCGTTTCGTGGGAGTAACGTTGCGATATCGGAAGGTGAGAGTGGTTCTGTATGTTTGCAAATGCTCCGGATTTGATCAAGTGCGTTCGGACAGGCTTCACTAAGCACCTTAGTATCATCTTCGCTGCTATACATATACAGGCAGAAGTATTTTGCCCTGGTAGTACAGCTTCGCCTTCTCACCAGGCTACCTCACATTAGACCTGCAGATTGGCAACTTCGCACTACAGGTCGCATAAGCACTGCGAGCAGTGCAACCCTCCCTCCCTTCTTCTCGGGCTTCTAGAAAGGCAAGGGGAACCAGCCGTTCTCCGAGGTTCACGGATGAAACTCTTACCTGTCTAATCCGTATTGACACAGAGTCAAGGGATGCATGATAATCTATGCAGGGGAACTTATGATATCACATCGCCGGAGCTGGCTTCCTCTTCCTCCTCCCCTCCTGAGTCGTCAATAGTAGTCTTGGTTGTTGAGATCAACCAGAACGGCGACTCGAGTCGCCTTCGGATGTGCATGTGAAGTCATTGCTATGGTAGATATCGCCTCAAATTACAAGAAAAGAGGAACTGATGTTCATGCGCTACCTGGTTTCCATTCCGGAGGGGCTGTAAGTGGGTGACAGGGCTACGTCAAGGGTGCGTGCATTGCAGAGAGAAAAAAAGGTGTCATGTGGAGTGTTGTTGCAGAAGCGAGAAGTAAGCCATCAGACCTTTGGTATGTGTGGCTTGGGCTGGGTGCTTCGCGATCGATGAGAGAGAACAGCAAGAGATTGACCTCAGGATCGGTGGTTCAACCTCACAAACTGTGTCAGTGGTTCGTCCACATCTGTGTACCGGTACCTCGTAGTGGTGCATCCCATCCGGATCGACATGGAGTGGATGAACCGTGCATGACGTCGAGGATCGATAGGAATCTTGGGACTCTGGGAGTGCTGCCTCGCCGATACCCGAATGGGAAAGAACCAGAAAAGAGCTGAGAGTGTACTCCGTAGAGGGATCCATCCCCGAAGATCCGCCCGGGAGTCTCCTTTTCTCCTGGTTGCATCTGAGTTTGATTAGAATTGCCACCAGTTCGGCAACAAGAGAGGGAGAGGGGGTGGAGAGGGGGCAAGGATGGAAAAGGGGGGTATTCCCATCAAAGGCATGAGGAAGTATTGCGCAGACACAGTATCAAACTATCCGTAGATTGGCTGGACGGACAAACCCCCCCCGCCCCGGCCACTGCCCGAAAAGGCAAAACAAGAGCTGTGGAGACCAACTCCCTAGCCACAGTCTGACTTACGTAAGGTAAGGGTGATGCTTTATGCATGGCACCAGCCACGTTCCATGCATGAGATTCATGCACTGTAAAAGACTTAGATCATGCTTCGGGCAGTGGTGAGGGCAGGCAGCAACCACAACCACCAGAGTAGCAGCAACAAATAGCATCAGCAGCAAGGACTGTGGGCGCGCCCTTTGCTCTTTTCATGATCATTGGGTGGGGCCATACTCATGAGAATGACGATGTGCTCGAGAGAGTATATGCAATACAGCACTAACTATACCTAGTACCTACTTACATGCAGTGTGCTGCTGCTACTATATGTACTGTACCGAATCTGACCTGGTGATGATCATCCTTCCGGCTGGCTATGTTCTATTGCACTCCAGTCTGAGATTGGTGAAATGTCTATAGATTTCAATTTATCTTTGGAAAGTCTGGATGTATAAGACTATATTTATCACCCCGATGGAAAGGGGAACGGACCATAGTGCATGTTGCCCAGACCCATGGAGACAATGTGTACTATATACATGCGGTAGCTGCATAGGTAAGTATAGAGTTGCCATTGAATGGTTCTTCTCGTACTTTCTGGCCACTGCACCCTCCTTTCTCTCCCCTCCTCAGCAAACAGAACCTTAAATAACAAGGTGTATGGTCAGAGAAGAGATAAAGAAAGTCAAGTGAAGAAAAGTAAAGAAAAGAAAAAAAAAAAAAAAGTCAGAGGTCGGGACCGGGGATTCCGTCCCAAGCGTCATAACGTCGCAGTACGATCTGGTTCATTTGGCTGGGGTAGACGTCATCCGAACCGGCACTGGATATAACCACTTCCCCCCTTTAAACCTTCAGAGGCTAGGAAAGGGAACTGTGTAACTTTCTAGTTATCTACACTTCTACAATTCCACAACTCTACTACTACTCTACTACTACACTTTACTCTCTACACTCTTCTCCTGCTCTCAACTGTTCCTGAGACATTGACGGCGATCTGGATCGTACAAATTGGGAGATTGTCTCCTGTCACTACTTGAATTGGAGAGTCTCCTTATTTCTGTTCTACTCCGGGCCCAGCCCATTTCCCATTTCCCATTTCCAATTTCCCACTGCCCATTTCCACTTTCCCATCGATCCTATACGAACTAGTTTCTCCCTCAGTGGAGACCCAATCTCCCCCCGAACGTCGCGTCCTGATCGACTGTGGAATGATTTTCTATTCTTCTAGCCGCTCTTCTTTCTGTCCGAAGGGGTACTATTTGTGAAAGTTCATTCTGCTAGTCGCATGAGAGACCCTTTAGGTCGTTCGCCCCGGTAACCAGCCAATACCACCTCCGATTAACCAGCCATACTACACTACTACTACCACTACCACCACTACCACTACGACTACTACTCCTACGACTCTACTAAATCCGATCCATTTGGCTGGTTCTTTTTAGATTGACTCTCCTTTTTTTTCTCCCTCTCTCTCTTTCCCTCTTACCCTTCTCTTCTACGACTCCTGCCCTCCCTATTCTCATCTCTTCTTTAACACCTCGCGTTTCATGATATATTGTTACTCTGGACGCCCTTATAACTCTGATCACGGCCCGCAACCGGCAACGGACCTTTTTTTTCCAACAACGGACCGAATTGATATCGACACACGGGCCTGGACTGCCTTGCACCGCCCGATTGCGCTGACTTGCATTGCCCGTCACCACCACTAAACTACCGCACTCTTACTCGCGACACGACGATTACCGCCACTCGTCCGCCCTCCGCCCTCCCTCTTCTTTCCTCCTCTCTTTGCCTACCTTTCCTGCCCAGTCATGGCTATGGCCGTTAGGTCGCAAACGCCGGTGCAGGACCCCTATGGCACCCTCCCTCAGCATCCCGATTCTCTACTGAACCGCGGAGCATACGGCGCGCGCTCCAGTTCCCGACCCAACTCCATCATCGCCAGTACCTCCGGCTACAATAACGTCACCCACGCCGCCGACCCCACCTCTCACCCTCACACCGGTCGCTTCCACGAGGAGTTCGACGCTGCCAGCCAGCGCGGCTCCGTTCTTGTAGACGGTCCGTCGAGCGCTGGCATGCAACGCTCGGCTTCACAGATGTCCCAGTCTCGATCCGCAACTCCGACCAGATCCGGCACTTTGCGAAAGAAGGCCTCCCTCAGTAAGAGAGGCAGCATGCGTCGCAGTGGTAGCAAGAGGAGCCTGCGGGCGGGTAGCGTACGAAGCCTCGTCCTGGGCGATAGAGAGAAATATGGCGTCGATGGCGAAGATCCGAACAGCGCATTCTATATTCCCGTTCCAACGGATGGAAGCCCGACCGAGGTATTGGCCAACCGCTTCCAATGTAAGAACCCCTCATATCCAGTTAGATCGATCCAGGAGGCGAGATGCTAATATGCGACAGCGTGGCGCAAAATCCTCAAAGACCTCATCATCTTCTTCAAGGAAGTGCAGAAGTCGTACGAGACACGCTCGAAGCTCTTCATGTCCGCCTCGAACATTATGAACAACACATCACTGCCGCCGACGTTCCTCAAGTCGGGAGGTCTGGCAGATGCGACCGAGATCTTGCGCGACTTTCACCGCCAGGGCTATCTGGAAGCGACTAAGGCGGCCGAGGTGGAGAGCGAGGTTGTCAATCAGCTTATGGGTCTCCGTAATGATCTGCAGAAGAAGACTAAGGAGATCCGCAGCCTGTCAGGTGATTTCCGAAACTCCGTCGACAAAGAAGTCGACGCTACTCGCAAGGCCGTTCGGCACTTACATGAGGCCCTGGGTTTGGTCGACACTGATCCATCTGCGACTTCTGGAAAGGGCGATCCTTTCATTGTTCGGTTGAGTGTGGACAAACAAATTGAGA